AGGTGAGGTCTGGATGTTGCACTCAGCTGAAAGAGAGGAGACACATTCTTTGGTTAGTTAAAGCCTCGGGGGAAAGTAACTACGTACGTTTTGTAAAATTGTAAGATACTTGTACTTTACTTGAGTATTTCATTGTTTTGCTACTTTGTACTTCTGCTCCACTACAATTCAGATGTAGATCGTGTACTCCACTACATTTATTTAATACCTTTAGTTACGTTACAAATGAATGATGTGAAATATAATCAAGTGTTAAATCAGACTTTAGTTCCACCTGGAGTAAATCCACAAGCTACCCTGCAGAATACAAAGCCATTCAAACTAGCTGCACCTTTACCAGCTTTGAGAACACTTTCATGATCAATCATTATAAAACATATCATATATATTATTCTGAAATGGACCAATCTGCATAATGAGAACTTTTTCTTTTGTTACTTTAAGTAGATACAATACTTGTGTACTTTTACTTGAGGAACATTAGGATTGCAGGACTTTTACTTGTAAGAGAGTATGCTAACACTGGTGCTTCTACTTTTACTACAAGATCTGAGTACTTCTCCCACCTCTGCTCGTACATTAGGCATTATCACAAGATTCATAAAATGGAGTCTTACCTTTGAATAAAACAGAAGCCACCTCCAGATCAGAGTTGACCTGGTCCTGGATGTTCTTGCTGTCCTCCTCGTTGAGCGACTTCACAAATCTTGAGCAGACATTCATGTCAAAGCGGTTGGGCAGGATGAACTTGATGCCCATGGCCACATTTTGGGGGCCTGTGTTAACTGGGCTTGGACCCACCGACTGCTCCGTCTTGATGTTGCTCAAATCCGGCATGACACAGATCCCCTCCATGTCCTCCGCTGTCCCCCCAGAGGCTGACATGTTAACGTTGTCCATTCAGCGAGCTGTCACACTGAGATTATACTGTAGACACTGCACGCCTGAAACCAGAAAATAATATATATTAGAAGACACAATTAGTTACCGTTCACATTACATTAAAACATATCCTTTTTTACCTGCAATTGCATGTGAAAAACCTAATAACTGACTGTTAGCTATCAGTTAGCATGCTAGCTGTTGTTATCGTTGCTTTCAGTTAATAACTTTTAACGAGCTATGGCAAACAAATATGAACATGGACACGCATAACGAAATTAAATAACGTCATTATTTTGTAATTCATAAACGTCTTACTCCACCAGGCATTGTTTTTATTTAAATATCCTCATGCAGCCATCCCTCTTTATTCGGTGTTTTGATATTATCACGACACGCATGCGCAATTGGTCGTCCACTACCGTGTGCATCCACTATTGGCCTCCCTGTCTTTAGTTCCGTTGAGCTGTGTAGCCCTCAGATAGAAAGTAGGCTTTTGCTGAGAAAGAAGACGCTTTTTTTCAGATTCAGCAAAGCCGCTTGTTTATCGTATCATGTGCTTTAACATTGGGAGCAAACTTTAAATAATGGTAGGGATTAGATAGATAAATAATCTAAAAATGGTCAAAACACTACACTAGGTTTAGTGTCTGATATTACACGAACGAAGGTACACAACACTACTTATCTTTCTTGTATATTCTTGTGTGTCACTTTCTGAGTGAGAAGCTTTTTCTTCATTCACAGTGATCAGGAGCAGCCTATGCGGTGGATTAGATACGAATATAAGGTGTAAAAAGTAGGTTGGTGGACAAACATTTTTATTAAGACAAATACTCTTTGAATAGTATGTGTATTATTGAGTTACTTTACCTTTTTGGCCATATAACTGCATTTTAACCTATGGAGGAAGATGATCAGGATGATAAACATTTTAACAAAATAAAATGTAAATTACTTATGATTTGGAAATGTCGATAAATATTGTGAGACCTGAAATTATTTAAATAGCTTGATTTAATTATTGAATTTGATCGTGTATTTATGAGTCTTATCTAGCAGACCAACTATGTAAAAAGTCCCATTTATCTTGTTCAAATAAACTAGTGGCCTGAGATCCCTCATGGTCACCTTATTCTGGAGAAAGGGCTTATATAATAAATGTTCAACAAAGCAGAATAATTATTAATAAATTATTTTAGATCAGTTTACCAAATGAATGATGGAGAATTACAAGTTCCTTCCAGAAGTTCTTAACCCAAAGCCCTGAAATGTTAATCTGATTAAGAGGTTACAGCAAACATTTCCACATAATCTGTCAAATCCCCCCATTGAAAGGCATAAACACAGGATTAGCCTTTTGTTTTTATTGTTGTGCAGTCAGAAGTGAGGAGATCAGGGGGTCACCATGCTTCAGTCACTCTGTGTAAACTATATCCATCCACCTATCCATCCATTCAAATCTAACTTTCTTTCTTTTGTATGTGATTGTCTTGGGCCTACAAAACGGTATATTGGTGATTAGGATTTGCAGTCTAAACAAGTTCAAGCCCCTGGAGTATTTATCCCATTCATTGGTTCTAACTATAAAGTTTAATTATTGAGGCTGGGTATGTATAGCTTTCCTGCGTGATGCTTTATATCAGCAATTTTCCCAAGTGAGGTTAATGTTGTAAATGTTGTTAAAGTCAAGTGATCTCACTATGTGAGGTTCACATTAGCTGAGTCACTTCTCTGTTTTCCCTACTTTTAAAAACCCTCAGAGAAAATAAAAACACAGAAATTGGACAATTCTGTAAGAAGGAAATCTTTCTTCAGTAAAGAACAAAGACACATTCAGAAACACATGCTTTGCATGCTAGCTAGGCATGTGTTGCAAAATTAAAATCATTCACTCTCTGAATTGTTATGATTAGTGTGTTTGAGAGGTCAAACAGAGCTTTGGAGGCTCAGTTTGTTTGTTTGTTCAAGTGAAATGACCAAACAGCAATCCCTAAGCTGTTATTCTTGGACTGAGTGGAATGTCTTTTTAGGGGGCTGATTGAAACTGTCTCATTGCAGTTTTCTTGGGATTACAGCAGGCACTGGGAAAAGAGATACATATGGTTGCTCTGCTGCCTCTTGTTATTACTGTTTACTTGATTGTCCTTTGAGTCTCCTAATGATGAGGCTCATGCATACTGCTGTGATGACACCAAGGGCAATACAAAGCTGCAGTTGCAATGAGGACGTTGGTTTCAAGACCAAGATCACATGCAACTCTGATCTCAGCTGCTTTCTTATGACAGCATGAGATTAATTCCACTGTGTTCTGCTCCTGCCATCTACAGGACACCTGGATCACATGCACTGCAAATCATGAGCAGAACATACACCAGGTCATGTTTCACATCTGTGAACATCAATTTGTGGTGCATATTGTATTTTATTTAAAGGTGACATGTCATGCTTTTCCGGTTAGTACCCGTCTCCTTGTGTGTTATGAAGGTTTTTATGCATGTAAACGGTGTGCAGAGTAAAAACCCTCAAAGTACACCATGTAGGGAGTAAAACTCTAACACAGAAAATACCTCCCCAAAACGCCTCGTTGGAGATACGTCACTGTCCATTTGATTCTTCCGGGTACATCATGATGTCATGTCGTCCCCGGAACGAAATGGACCAATCCGTGGAGCCGTTACGTTACGTCCGCGGAGCCGTTACGTTTAGCCCCCGCTGATTGGTCCAAATTGACCAATCCACGGACTTCATCACACACTCAGTGCAGGCAGCTCTGCTGATCTCTCGTCCCTGGCTGCAGGCTGATAACAGACAGTTGGGATCGCGGCAAAATTCTCTCTGCAGACCCATTCTCTCTGCAGACCCTGGGGGCAAGAGCTGCAACGAGCTGCAACGAGCTGCAACGAGCCGTTTAGTGGAGAGAGTCACATTAGTGACATTTATGATGATGTGTTATCAGGAAGACCTCCACATGATGGCAGTATTGTTACTTAATTCACATTTTATTTGCTGATGTATTTTTGCCAACAGATGGCAGCCCAGTCACTTGCTGTGCTACACGTATGAAGAGATGTGACCCAGTCCCAAATGGCCTATAATCCTCTCATCTCCCCAATTAAACAAGACAACACTGTGCGGGGGGAACAGTACAATTATCTCACACTGCTGACTGTGCTTAAAGTAAGGCAGCACTGTGGTCAGCTGTGACCTCATTTTACACATTTAATCTGTTGCTCATTATAAATCAGTGGGATAAATCTGAGAGCAGGAAGGGTGGGAAAGTCTTCCCCTCTCTTCCTGTTGCTGTCATATACATGTTTGTGATTACAATCCAAAAGAGACCTGCTCTGAGATTTCCATCCAACATAAGAGCACAAGGAGTAACTGTCATGCAAAGTGAGCAGATATGAAACAGGGTATTCTTCTACTCTACTCTTTAACCTTTACTCAATTAAGCACTTTCAGTTATGATGACACATATCTATAGTCTCAGATCTATATATTTTATAGGTTACAAAAATCCCAGAATACTTGGTGATGAATGTGATGAATGCTTCTCAATTTCCCTGTTTAGTACCACAGTCACATTTACATTTAAGTGATTCAATCAGTAAAAAGGTAGCCTATATGTAAATGCTAATGCTAACCACCACAAACACAAACTATTGGTCAAATCAGTCCAAGTAAGAAAGTATAGGCTTTACCTTGTATGAAATATAAATATACGAAATAACAACCTATTGTTAATTTTTCAATGCTTGAGTAAATGTAGTTCACCTAGTACATTTCCACAACTGCAAAAAAAGTGACAGTATTTGCATACTGTAGGCCTACAGAGGGCGACAAATTAACATAGGTGAAAGTGACGTTACTCAAGCTCATCTCTGATTGGAGGAAATTGAAATTACAACTGACCCGTGCACAGCATGATAAACATATCATAATAAAGTATGAAATGTCGCTTTAAACTCAGTCTATATAGTAGACATAGCATGTAAGGGGACACACATAAACACATATAACGCTCATAGGAACGTTTGTGCCCCCTGACAGACTTCAGTCCTGCAGCCCGGTGTGTGTGGGGGGGGGGGGGGAGGCGGGACCACAGGACAGCCTCACACAACTCTGCGACACCTGCAAACAAACTGTCAACAGACTGAAGAGAAGGGACGGAGAAAGCTGGAGCAGACCGTAATGCGGAATAAGGGTGCGAAAGGTGCTTATTAAGCAAATAACCAAACAGAAAAACAACTTGTATAAAAAGTTGCGCGATTTGAGTTCTCTACGGATCGCACCGAGGGCTGAGAAGAGACGACAGCAGGTAATGATTCATCTTCAGCTGACACAATCTGCGTAAAATAGTTTTACATCAACAACTGCGCTTTGATATTATGATGGTTTTTCAAATTTGCACAAGTTGACTTCGGCTATAAAACTATCAAATGTTGTTGCGTTCATAGGTAAACCGTAAAAACAACGTGGTGAGTTCAATGCCTCACTGTTACTGACTCTTTGTCCATGTTGTGGTCGTGCAGTCTGTTTTATTATTGCTTTGATGCATTTACTGGCTGTATTTGATTGTGTGCTGGAGTTTCACTCCCCGGTGAAAGCAGTAGAGTCATTGTTCCTGAAGGATATGTTAGAGTGCTGATAATGTGTGGGCTATTTATCTAAATCCTGTTTTCACTTCTTTCTGGGATAGGCGACCTGTCCATGCAGTGGCTTAGCATTTAGGTTATTTACAAAAAAAGTTTCTGTTTTTCATTGTTTACCTTATATCCATTTGTTTTAATATATGCCAAAATGTGGTCTGAAAAAAAGTTTCAACATCTTTTTTTTAATCACAAAAAGTTACTGTGACATTCTTTCACACACACATACGGGTATTGGGCCCGGTATCCGCCGTTTTACGCGAGGTGCAAGCAGGCCAAGGGTTTAGCCGTACACCGTCTAGGTGTTGCTAAGCTTCCTGTACTGAATATCATAGTCTATTGCCTTAATCAATATCTAGTCAACTCTAAAATACCACATATATGCAATGGCATGATAATATTATTGTGACAAGTGGGGTATTCACCTGGTGTTTCCAGAAATTAGACGTAGATGCAGCCAAAATCGACGCAGTCTGTAAGGGCAATCCGACAACCCACACAGCTCTAGTTTACGCTGGTAACGACCTAGAGCACACCCCTCAAGACCAGAGATGTAATCCGAAGACATGCAGCGATTTCTTCGGTCGTTAATTCTGAAAAAAAACCTAGTGCGCTCTGCCTGGCTACATTAGCTAGCTGTTTATATTAGCACTTCCAGGATATTTGCACCTCCAAGAAAATGGCGTATTTATATATATATATATATATATATATATATATGGCGCGTGTTGCATTGTGGGTAGCTCGTGACGTCACTGTGTGTGAAAGAATTACTCAGTGAGTCCACATACCAAATGATAACATGTACCACATTAAAGTTTAGTAGCCTACCTAAAGGCTGAAAGCAGAAAAGTGCTCCTATTAATACAGCCTATAACAGATTGCAGCTTGTCATGTGAGAGGAATTGGATTATTCAATCATGCATCCCCTGAATTTTTTTTTTACGGGACAACAGGATCAGCTGGCTCACGTCTGAAAATATTTGCATCACATAAAGATGTCTAAATGAGTTTCCCAAATGCGTTGTGACAGTGTTCGTTCTCTTGTTATATGTAATCTCTTTTCTCACGCTCTGTCCTGGTTGAGTGTGTGGCCACCAGCCAGGTCAGGTTTCTTATTCAGCACATTGTCAGAGGACATGTCAGAGGCTGAAGACGGCCTCAGGACAATGACCAACACAAATTCTGCGCAGACGAGAACAACTGGACATCAGGATTGGAGATTCTTTATCTCTGTGTGTTCCTCCTGTTCTTTGGCTACCTGATCACATGGTTATTTTTTACTAATAGATGATTCAGAGTGTGTTATTGAGCTCTAGAACGTTACATCAAGATGGATCTTGATCCTTTTTCTGTGTTGAATCAGCTTATGTCTTTAAACCTTGCATAAACACTAGCATACCAGAATATTCACGTATGTTGATGTTATAGGGCGCAACCTGCCAACCTAGGACAATGTGTATTCTATCATATGAAACGTAAACCCTCTCTAGTTCCAAATTACAATCATTTAGCCCCATTGATATGAGCAGGATTAAAAGCAGGAGATAGACGCCCAGGCCTGTGGCATTCACTTCTATTGATACGATACAATATCAGAGGGATAGTGATATTATTGTTAGGTACACCCTAAGGACACCAGTTAGTTTAAAGTGACTTTACTTGTTGTTAACCCCGTGGATACTGTTCTTGATTTTTGTCTTTTGTGTCACTATAGTTTTTTTTAATGAAGTAACCTTCAGTTCAACCGAGGTTTAGAGGATTTTAGGTTATTGTACTTTGGACACATTTAAAGTGTATACACCAAGTGTCAAAATGAAAAATCGTGGGATATTTTATTGTATTTCATATGTTGAATAAGGGGTTGCATTGAGAATATTGGGGAAAGTGTTGAAATAGGTACTTGATTGTTTTCAATGTGTTGACATCATCTCTGCCTATCTCTGAACAAGGTAACACCATGGTGGAACATCGTTTTCATCTAGCATTGCTAGCATAGTTGCTTTGGCTGAACAATTTAAGAAAAAGTGATGACTACAGATTCTGATGACCACTGAGCTGCAGAATTAAAACAGTTTTGGCTTGTCTGAGCGGCACCAGCTCATGCTAATGAGTGTCTAGACACAGTGCAGCCTGCAGAGCTGACACCACTGTGCAGCTTTGAAGTCATGCACTATTCAAGCTGAGAGTGAAGTCACAGCGGGTCCGGTGTGGGCTGACCATACACTTACTTTTTTTTCCTCCACTGCTGCATCCTGCATGAGTGTGACGCTGTTGTTATTGTAGCTTCTCCCGTACAGGTTAACCCAATCACCTAAAGGCTTTAAAGGGGCCCTATTCTGTCCTAGTTTAGTGATTGTCTGGCTAAATCACAAAGTTCACGACGCTCCGCCCCTTTCTGAAACGCCTATATTGTAATCTTTTTCTGTAACATCAAAATATGAACCTGAAAATGAGCATAATGTGTCCTCTTTAAGAAGAGGATCATATATAAAAGTGTACACATTGTTCACCAGAAAATGCCCTCAGATTAATTGACTGTTTCATAAACATGATAAGTGCTCATGGTTTGACACACATTTTTACTTTCCCTGAATGAATAACAAACAATTTCAATAAAATAAATGTCATGATTTATTAACTTTGAATGGTTCGTTTTTTCTTATCCTGACATTACAGTAACATGCCAATTTCCTCCCTAGGCTTCTGGTGGATGGAGTTAAAATGGACGTGAAGAGAAGAGAGGTGCCTCTATATGTAAGTGCTCATATATTTTTGCTCCATTCTGTAAGTGTCTGATGTGTTGGTGGTCTATTTGGATATTTTTAGGGTGTGGTTGAGTGAGTACATGAACTCTGAATAGCAGTCTGCCATATTTAGACCCCACTCTGTGTTTTCCCACCAGAATTAGAGCACTCTAGTTTTTTCCTCCCACCTCTCTCTCAGTCCTGACTCCCCCTCTGTGCTGGGGTTGACTAGCAAGCCTTGTGTCGCAGATGAAACTTAAGCCAGGAGGGTTTCAGTCCCCGGGGAAGCCAGGCCTTACACAGCCTGCTCACCGAATGACAAGGCCCTCTACGCTTCGTAGTGAACAAGGGAAAGAATATCCCCTATTTGTAGTGGGTTTTCCTGGAAGGAGTGCACCAACCAGTGTGTTAATTGAATAAATACACATTTTCCATTTGAAAACACTGGTCAGGGTGCACAGTATGCAGGTGTGTTTGGATTATTGTTTGACATAATAGAACTCTGTTTCTTTGTGGTACTTTATTGCTTCCATCTGTCTTTCTATTACTCGTCAATCCTCCATTTCTCTCAGTCTCTTGCCCTTATTCTCCTGTGTGTGTGTGTGGAAGTCTGGGTGGGCCATTCACTGAAGCGTTGCCAGATTTTTGGTAAGCAGAGTGTCTGCTTGTTTTGCTGTGTCACCAGTTTCAGAGGATTAAGTGGTTGGGGGGGGGGGGCTCGCTCCAAAACCTTTGCCTTCCCTCGCTCATAGAGGCTGATTGAGGTCCGGTCTAAAAACCCAGGCATGTGAATCATTATGGGCTCTACCACTCTCGCATACACCTCTCCATTAGGAGGAAGTGGCGTCTCCACCCTCTAAGGTCACAGCTCAACATGCACAAACTCACTGCTGAATGAGATCCAGATTTCAATGCCAGGCTTTGTGCAGGCGAGCCAATCCACACTGCTGTTCTATAAAAGCTGTTATTGTAACACCCTTAGTGAAGTGTTATAGTGCACCATACATACAACATAGTGTCAGGCCCATAGCAGGTACTGTTCCACCAGATCAATGGATAAATGGCTGCATTGAGTTGCAGGCAGGAAGTGGGAGTTCCTGTCTTGGACGAAGTTTTATTGAGCTCCAGTGTAGTGATTTTGTGCGTCCATGTGCTTATGTGTGAGTAAAATGAATCAAGAAGACTCAAGTCACTGAAATGTGAGAAGTTCACATCAGATGTAAGAGAGAAATATCCCCAAAAACTAATTCATCTAGCCAACAGCTCTATGACATTGTCAGACTGTTAGTGGGTCCACCATTTTTGCTTCAGACTGAAATACTTCAATAACTATCTAAGGGATCACATTGGAATTTTGTACAGGCAATTATGGTCCCCAGAGGATGTTTCCTACTGATTTTAGTAATAGCCTGACTTTTCCTTCAGTGTCACCACAAGGTATAGGCTACATTTCTTGAACAACTATTGGATGGATTTACATTTTGTTCAAACCTTCATGGTCTCTCAACTTTGTTTTTTTGGCAGGTAAATTGTTTTGCACAGAAGTTTATAAGAATAAATCTTTAATTTATCTGTCGATTAGCCAACTTTGCACTGCCAAATAAATGACATTCTCTAAGCCAGGGGTTCCCCGATTGGGGGTCGCAAGATGATTCCAAAATTAAAATTGAAAATAAAAAAAAAAAAAAATTTCTTTTAAACATTTTTTTTATTATTAATAATAACGTGTGCATAGACATTTTTCAGGAGCGGACTGGCCATCTGTATAATTTCCCCGCAGCGAGGCTCCCCCCGTTGACAATCCATTAGCGCAGTGTTTCTCAAACGTTTTCATACCAAGGACACTTAACCAATAAAAAACCACTCACAGACCACCTAACTCCACACATATCAAAAAACAATAGGCCTGCTTACCACTCCAGCAGTACAAAACAGCCTAATAATGACAGCTTCACCTTCTCTACTGTATATCGCCTCATTCACACAATAAATCAACAATATAAATACAACTACAGATTATATAAGCATTTAGTTCAAATGCGATTTAAAATGCTCACAGGTTTTACACCTCTTATGAAATGTAGACTACATTTATTACGAAGTTTATGTCCGAGCCAACAGACTCACAGATCGTAGGCTACTGAGAGATATGCAAAATACACTGCATGTAGTAAGGTTCAAGGTTCTTTATTTGTCAAACGAACATAGCTACAGTGTAGTTAGTCGATGAAAATCTTGTGTCACAGGCTTCTCCAACAGTGCAACACAAAACACAGATAAACAGACAAATATAGTGCAAGTAAATAGTAAATACAAGAAGAAAATAGTTTAAAAAAGTGAAATAGTGCAATAAGAGTCTATATGCAAGTCATTGAAATATGATATATTAGGTAAATAGATAAATATCTTTTAAGTAGCAGCCAGATGAATATTGTGGACGTTGTTTCAACAGTTCAGGTGTTTAACAGTCGTATTGCCTGTGGGATGAAACTGTCCCTGAGTCTGGTGGATTTAGTAGGCCTACGACACAAACTCTGCTGTGGATTTTCAAAACAAAATATAGTAAAACTATGGTTGCAGGCCCAAGTTTAACTCTCTGAGGCCTGCATGGTCTGCCTACAAAACAAAAATATGCAGCCCCAACAACAGCCTCTGATCATCAACAGACTTCATGCAATGCTTCATCAGATACATAGATAATAATCTCTGTCAATCTCTCGTTGACAGGGGGTCGCCAGTCTGGCACTGTTATTTTGGGGGTGGCGGACTGAAAAGTTTGGGAACCCCTGCCCTGAGCTGTGCTTTAGTGAATTTTAGCATGCTAACACACTAAACATAAATGATTACCATGTAAGACATTGCACCTGATAAACATAAACACCGTGGCACTGTTAACAGCAGCATGCTAGCATGTAGACGTTAGCATTTTTCTCAAATTACTTCTATTTCCAATACAGTCTTTTAAATCTTGCTTCTTTTACAGCAGCTGTTATCTCAACACAGCACAACTGCATGTTCACAAAATGGAGGCAGATTAGCCCTATCCTTCTTGTGCCATATTTATTCAATTGCCCGTATGGTCCGATGGTGACAGTAATCTCACAGTGCTCTTTGAACGAGGGGGTATCTCTGTGTCATGGTTTATGATTTTGTTTGCCTTTAAGTGCTGAGGTGGTTGTGTTTGCCATGCTTTTCACATGTCAAACAAACAAAACCTCACCCTGCCTTAGACGTTTGAGAAGCCAGTCCATCATAATAGAAGAAAAATACTTGAACAAATAGACGTGCTCTCAGTTTTCTCCAATATTGCAGACCTGAAATAGACGTAATAATGATTAATGTCAGTAACAGCTTGCACAAACTCCAGGCACTTCTTAGTATTTTTACTGAGTCTGTTCTTGGCAGCCCTATTCTTAGAAATGTTTGCGGCACCACGCCAGCTTTACTGACAGATCTTTCTGATGTGAAGATTAGTTATTAGTATCTCATTTTCACAGCAGATTAAATCCGAGGTATGTGTCCCAGCTGAGTATGAGAACAGGCCTGCAGTACAGTTAAAGCTGTCACCCTCAAGGCTCCAATCAGCTTCCGGTCCATTGAGTTTCTTTAAGCTTAGATGTACGTCCTTAATGTGTCACTTCGGCACTGTGTGACGTAGAAATACTTAAATATTTTCCCTTTGAATTATTCTTAGAATTCGAAAAGTCATTACCTGAGATGTCAGCTGGTTGGAACAAAGACTAACGGTTCAAATCAATAATAATATATAGTGACTGTGTGGGGATTTCAACACATTTCATTGACACAACGTAATTTGTGTCCGTTTCTAAACTGAAATACTATACTGTTAAAATGGCCAATAATTAAAACAAAAAAACAACCTCTGTCCGTGCTGACGTCAGGCTGTTTTCTCACTCAGGTCAGCCCTGTTATTGGAGCTGTTTTTGTTGTTGCAGTGTTGTTGCTCCCCTGACGTCACCTGCGTGTTACACTCAGGAGATCACAGCAAAGAGCTCCAAAGCTGATGACTGCTGGTTTCCTGGAGACGACAGGCAGCAGATCCCACGTTGTTTTCCCCCACTGAAAGGACAATAACATGGGGATTATAAACACTGGTGGATTTCTAGTGAAAACAAATATTAATATGCACCAGGCATTATGTCATATTATGGTAATCTTGCATATTCTTACTAAAGCATACACGTCCAGACAATAAATACTGAGTACGACAGATTAAACAGTAAAAGACAAATAAAGTATTAAAAATAACACTCCCATTAACATATATTTATTGAATTACCACCAGACAAAGTGATTTTTGTCGATAACATAAATATGTTATGGAAGCATTATCTCTGCAGTCTATTTCTCTTTTTCTCCATACGTTAAGGCTAGCTGACACAGCACCCCCACCTTTTCAGATTGGTATCAAGCTACTATTGCCTATGCGATAGACCTCCTCATGTTCCATCATTTACACATTACATCTGACCTGAGAACTGCCCATATGAGAGGCATGAGGTGAAACTACAAGTTGTTGAATATTTCATTGTTACTGGATCAGCTCATGATAAAGCCCCACAGCAAAGGGCATATCACATCAGTCGTTTTTATTATCACCAGCCTTCCTCCTTCCCTTTTCCCCAAGGCACAGGAGATGAAGTTAGGATCAAGCAAACCCTGTCTGATCAGATTGTACCTGTGTGAACAATATCGTCTGAGGCTGCTGCAGATGGTTGGGACAATAAAGTTGAAACTTCAGCCTCATTGTAGGGGTGGAAACAAAAACAAAAGATATACAAAAATAAACGTACACATGTTTCTGTGTTTTTCAACGCATTAAATCTACTAACTGGAAGACAATTTTCCAAAACATAAAGCAGCGGACATAGACAATTGATAAATCTCCTGGGATATTTTATAATAATACTTGTAATGGGTACAGGACACACATGTGATGGTTATTTAATAAATTTAATGAAATTCAATGTGAGCCTTGCGTCTTGCTAGCCGTGTAAGAAATCAAAAAGGTTGCACAAACCACAGGCCAACATCTTATCTTTTAGTTTGCTGGAATAATTATCAGCAATATCCTTAACAGTGTAAAGTGGTTGCTAAGTGGTGGTAGTGCTACTAACCACTAAGTGCACGCAGCAAGCTGAGAAACTGGAGGCTGAGTCAGACTTCTTTTATCAGTCTAAACTAACAGCCTGCCAACACAGGAGGTCAGTTTCAGTTCTACCTCTGAATCACCACCGACCGGACTCCAGAAGAAACTCTGGAAAGCTCCCAGATTGTTGGGTTAAGGCAAATAAAAAGGAGAGTGACTTAAGTTTGAAAGGCCCAAACTAAAATGTAGACTTTTGATATTATTGTTTGGTTAGTCAGGGTGAAGATGGAAGATGGTCTCTATGAGGTTGTGCAGAGAAATCTTTCCCCTGTACAGTAATGGTGTTAACAAAAGTCATTTTGAAAATTAGTCCTGTATCTGTGTCCTTTAGCAGGCAGCTACTATCCAACCCAGTCTCATGGCATTTCGTGTTCACCAACACGATTTTAAAAGCAATGTATTTCTACTGGTAATGTGTTTCGTGCCTGCAGCACGTCTTTTTCTCCGGTCGGGTCGTGGAAGACCGGAAGCTGTGTGGTTCATAAAAACATGTTCTTACTCAATATCAAGCCACAATTATTGCTTTTATTTTAAATCGTATAATGTCGGACTTTTGTTGCCGTCTGTGAGGAAAATAAATGGGGCTCAGAGCCTCAGGATACTGAAATCTGTATTTTTAAAATCTTTTTTTCCTTCTAATTTGTTATTCTTTTCAAAATAACACACTGTTATTTACTCACCAATAACACACAATTATCCTTGCTTTTATTTATTGGTTTAATTCCATAATCTCGGGCTTTTTTGGCGTCCGTCAGGAACTGAATTTCAAAATAAAAATAACCGGAAACAGACATAGGCATTTCGAGCGATTACCCAAGATCCTCAGCTATGGTTTAAGCTCGCTGATTGGATGTTTTAGCCGCAATGCATGCTGGGACTTGGTGTTTATATGATATGAAATCCGGAAAACATTTTAAAATAATAAAATAATACTTAATTCCGAGTGTTCTTGCTTTTCTCTTTGAAAGTCATCACATAACGGCATTGTAATACACGGTTCGGCTGCATTACATATTACAGATCTACCGTAGTTCTTTATTTATAGAGCCCTGATGAGAAGACCTTTGAACAAACTGTGAAAATGCCGCCGAAACTGAATACTTGACGTGGATCATAAATATATTCAACAATTAAACAACATCTTCAATTTGGCTTCACACAATACGTCTCCTTGCAGTATCAACACTAATTCGGCTGACTTTTACATTTGATCTAATTCATAGATAGGTTATATTTACACCATAACGGTGCACAGCTGATATAAAAGGACTTGTAGTTTTTAAAAATATTACTGATTTTCTTTGAATATAAGAATGTAAATACTTAGTCTGAAATAGTATAGCAATATGCTGTAAAATTATGTGAAAGCATGAATAAAACTACACATCTTCAGATGTTGTACATACATAAGTGTCCTACACTAATAATCCAAAGTTATTATGGCTGTGTGTACCTTGTGTGCACCGCCTAGTGGTTAAAGCACGTTATTGAATTATTGTTTTTATGTGTTATATTTGATTAAAAAAATATGAAGAGTACATACTTTCATCGGGGGAAAGTAGAAGGTCTGTGATAGAAATATAGAATATAACAAATCAAGAAGATACTATAAGTGATCTCTACAATAAAACAGTTTAGTGCAGGATGCACAAAGATATTAATAGGAGGAGGTGCAAAACAGAAAAACAAATTAACCTTTATTTAAACATTAAATAACAGGTTACGGTCTTCTTTTAAATAAGAAAAAAACGTTGGGGGTATCTATCTACAGATAAATATTAAGCCTGACAAAGTACTTAACGTCTAATATATTGCTTTCCTGCAATGTTAACTATGTTGAAGCACTTATTTTAACTGATATTATACATATTAATTATACTCTCATGTATGTATAGAATAAGAAATGTGCAGAATGACAGTTTAAGGGTGGAGGTACACACATATTGATAGATGTCTTGTAATGCGCTGTTGAGGAACCTGCGACCCAAGATTTTCATTCATTGCATACACCGTAGTTGTGTATATGATATGTTAATACACCTTTGAAAATCTTGAAATCTTGAAAGGGATGTGCAAAATAGCCATTATATACAGTCTTTAATGAACTATTAGTAGAGAATAACGAGTAATGAATATATTTTATTACTCGTTTCCATTCATGTCAATTGCAGATAAATGTTTAGTCTTCTCAAGCACCAACTATCAAATATCTCTCCTGATTGTTGGCACTTGACAATCACCTTCCCTGAATTTTACTCAGGTGTAACTAAAGTCTGATTTAAGGGTTGTTTATATTTCACATCATTAATCAGAATCTGCAAAGTAACTCAAATAAGTGTAGTGGAGTAAAAATACCAGGTTAACCTCTGAATTGTAGTGGAGTAGAATTACAAAGTAACAATGAGCTGTCATGTGGGTATATATTAATGCTGCGCATTATGGACACAATCGATTTTCACCCAATTATTAATTATATGTTTTACATTTGATAACACCAATGTGTTTAATACTGGCAACTTCTAATTGTGGGAAAAACGAAAACGTTCAGTAGAGACGTCCCATAGAACATTTTGCAAAACACAATAGCCAGCATGTGTAGTTCTGGGGCGGCGTTCGATTCCAGTTTTGGATAGTCTGGCGTGGTTTCGTTCCATTTAAAACAGCTGTTTGACGCTCGGCGTAACCTTGGCGCACTGCCACTCCAACATCCAATCCCAGAGTTTGAAGATTAATCACGGGGAGTCCTAAACGATAGCTGGGGATTATGGGTAGTGTAGTGTCTTCGGCCATCCTAAACTCCTAGAGGCCTACGTCTGTTCCGGTTATTTTTATTTTGAAATTCAGTTCCTGACGGACGCCAAAAAAGCCCAAGATTATGGAATTAAACCAATACATAAAAACAAGGATAATTGTGTGTTATTGGTGAGTAAATAACAGTGTGTTATTTTGAAAAGAATAACAAATTAGAAGGAATTTAAAAATAAATAAATACAGATTTCAGTATCCTGAGGCTCTGAGCCCCATTTATTTTCCTCACAGACGGCAACAAAAGAAAGAAATTATACGATTTAAAATAAAAGCAATAATTGTGGCTTGGTATTGAGTAAGAACATGTTTTTATGAACCACACAGCTTCCGGTCTTCCACGACCCGACCGGAGAAAAAGACGTGCTGCAGGCACGAAACACATTACCAGTAGAAATACATTGCTTTTAAAATCGTGCTGTGCAACACCAAAAAAAGGGGAAAATCGTGTTGGTGAACACGAATCAATAGATTCAAAATCGTGTTGGTGAACACGAAATGCCATGAGACTGGGTTGTACTAGGTTTCAGTACAATTACCTGCAAATATTCACAATCCCATCAGTACTCATCTATATTTTATTTTGTGCTAATTAGCAAATGATAGCTTATTATCAGACCAAACATAGTAAATATTATTCCTGCTATAAATTAGCATTTAAGCTAGCCCTCAGCATGTTAGCTTCCTGATGTTAGCTTTAAGCATGGCCCAACAGCCTCACAGCCACTCAAGACTCTTCATGTTTCAAAATATAATGATGATTATATTTAATCCACCCACACTCAAAGCTGTAATTATCAGCTGTTTATGCTTCAGTCCCTTTTTATTTAGCTGTCCTCACTCTGAAATGTTACAAGAATTAAGAGTCAGTTGTGCATTACGAAGCAACAAATGCTGTTGGCTTGAGAACAACATATTCCTGGTTGATGTAGGCCCTGTTAAATACATTTAAGCATAATGAATGCCTTAGCCTAAAGTATTAAGAATAAGGACAAATGAAGGACGCCCCAATAAATCAATAGATTAAACCCTAAACTGAGCACAAGAAAAACAGATGATAAGGATATTGCACAAGCATTGAACTCCAAGTATGTGATCCCTCTTGAACTTCAACGATACCCTCTTGAAAAGGTCGGCTCTGGAGGGAAAAATAACACTGGGTAGTGAAGTGAATATTGCGTTTTTCCTGTTTGGTAATCTTATTGACATTCACTTTGCTCTGTCAGTGACTAAGAGGCACTTCATATCCGTGAATAATGTGGGTGATGGGAGAGAACACTAAGAGAGGAAATTCAGTTGGTCTGTGTTGATCTTCCCCTCTAAAATCTTTTTCGAGGAAATGACTTGTGGGTGTTTTGGGAGTGATGCTGGTCAAAGCAGAGTTCAGATGAGCTCAGTAAAAATAACAAGGTCACTGATGTTACAGAAGTCATGAACCTCATTTTACAGATGCCTTTCACTCCTATTGTGGGAAAATGACTTGTGTCTCTCTTTCTTCCTTTTTTGGTGGCTGCCCCATATTTGCTCTTTCTATGTTGTGTCAGAGGTTGATAAGAAAATACATTTTTCCTCTAGAGAGAGCAGTTTATGAAAGGCCTTTTACACTATAGGGACCCTATTACGCTCAATTTGTGCTTTTACTGTGACATGCCTGAAACGAGAGCCCAGTCTGCTCTGATTGGTCAGCTGGCCAGTTCTATTGTGATTGGTAAACTGCTTAGAAATGTCCCACCCCTTAGCCTATTTCCTATAATGTGTTGGAGCGCTAGCATGAGTGTTACATGTCACTATGTTCAGGAAGTAAACAAAGGAGTCCAATGGAGGTGTTTCTTATAACATAAGGGAAAAAAACCCAAAGCATAATAGGGCCCCTTTTAAGTTGTAAAAGCAATTTAAATAGTTGGATTTTCTTTTTCTCATTGCAGGGACAAGTGAAGGCCCATGTAAGGTTACAGGCGAACGCTCCTGAAAATGCAGAGTTTTACATTGTTGTGCAAGGCTCTGATCTCACACATGTGACTGCAGCAAAAAGAGGAGATGATGGGCAGAGCCTTTGCTACACAGTTCCCGGTATGTCCTTCAATCAAACATTTAGTTTTCACTTTTTGGCCTTGTCATTATCTACCCCCTTATCATGATTCTTTCTATCTTCCACAGGCCATGCCCTTGTGGAGGTTGCCTCTGTGACACCCTACTTTTACGCAGAGGACCAAGTCAACCCATGTGAAGGTGAAGCTTCTCTTGGATACATCAGGGATGTTGCCCAGCAGGCTGCAGAGTACCTGAGTGCAAACAGGGAGCAGCTCGGCCCTCACAGCTACCTAGAGGTCCTGAAGAGGTTTTCCACGCAGGCAGCTGACGAGGAGCCCTTCGCTCTGGGGTCAGACAGCGATGAGGAGGATATGCGACTCGGGCAAAGTTCAGCTGATGAAGCTGGTCTCAGGCAGCTGGACGAGAAGATCACACAGGCTCTGGCCAACATGGATTACCCTCTGCAGTGGAAAAACACTGACAGTGAGCTAAGAGAAGGTAATGAAACAGGAGATGAGAGTGTAAGTAACAAGCGATCTTGTGGGTTTTATTTGCCAGAGGTCATTGTTGTAGCCAGTACGAGCCACGGTTTGAATGCCTTCTAAAGCAGAATTGGGTGTGCATATTGTAGTGTATGAAAGAAAGCAAGGGTATATACATGTGGATTTATTTCATACTCAGAAGATTAAAGTAAGTTGAGCCACACATCCAATCACATCCTGGTTGGTGCTGTGCTCCTTCCTGGATCATTTGCAGAGATCAAATATCAGGGAATCCCCTCTGGTCAGCAGATACAGTGTGAGGACTACCAACTATTCAACTGCCAAAGGAGGGTTTTTTTCTTTGTTTTGTTCTATTGTTGCTGGGATGCACATCCTGGAGGTGTTCCTAAAGGCTGGTTCACACAGGTTCAGAAACACATATGTTGTCACTTAACTCCTGTGGTATCCAGCCACAGTTCTTGTCTCACTTGCATAGGGTTTGAGGTCAGATCTGTTATGTATCCAGACTAAAGGAGACTTGTTTTAAACCTATAGATGCATAGTTCAATTAGATCTACACTCTTCCACAAGTGGATACAAAATGACCCATATTGAAATGTTTTTTATTAATAATGAAAATATATCTTCATAGTGTTTCTCAAACTAGTTACCTTTTATTTACACACGCATTATTTCATGTGTAATGTTTATAGCCATTTTGATCTTAAAATGATCAAAAGTGCAAATGGTAAACTATCTCTCTAAATTATACAATTTAGATGCTGAACTAGCAAGCTCATTTATCGAGCTATGAAGTAGGGTAGTCCAATTATAATTGCAGAAATACTTTTAACATTTTGCAAATAAAAGCTAATCCGGCACAGCATAAACATAATAACAGCTCAACAACAAGGGTATTAAATTGTCTTGGAAGTGGTAATATGAATGAGGGTGGAGATGTGGTCCACAGTGAATATACGTACCTAGGAAAAGTAAGAGATAATGAAGACAGATCTTAAACATTTCCCCAAAACGTTATACAACTTTATACTCCTCATAACGTGGAAACATCAAATCAAATCACCGTATCTACATAGCCGGATATAGTTGACGTTTTTTTTGTTTACAATTTGTGTGAATGAACCCTAACAAACAAACAAACAAACAACATAATGCCTTTAGGTCACCCTCAGTGCAGTGCTGTTCTTAGTGCTCAGAGGTTTTAGAAACCCACCATCTTCATCACATGATGTGCAGGACCAGCCAGCTGGCCAGTGTGCTCTGAAGAAGACGGAGCAATTACTGCCATTATTCCTCCTCAGCCAGATTAGAGTTGTCTTGCAGACCTCTGTGTCTGTTAAATACACTCCCACAATCTTCCTCTGCACTGCACTCCCACTGCTCAACACCACTGCTGTGTCAGAGTGCTTTCTTGCATAAAGGCCTCAGAATTAGTTATTTATAATGGTTCATTATTACAAAGCATTTTTTTTAACAAACTGAGGGCCTAACACAAAAAAAGGTATTGATTTAACATGGGTGCATTTTAAGAGATGACATGACCTGTTATCGAAAAGTATAATTGGCTAATACAGCTAATTGCCTTTTTACAATTCCAGTACATAGCTTAGTTAAAAGGCCTCATATAGTCGTAGGCTGTCCTCTCATTAAAGGTAGGGTAGGTAAGAATGGAGAAACCAGCTCGAGTGCGCTAGAATTTGAAAGTACGCAGCCGAAAAAAATCTGCCCCTTCCTTCAGAATTCCTTACAGAGCCCCTCCTCCAACACACACGCACATGACATGACCAATGAGGGCACGAGATAAGTTTGTGCACAGATGGAAGGCTGACAGGCAGGTAGGCCATCCAGTTACTTTAGCCGGGCCGGCTCAGATGATTGGTTGTGCTTTTTACAGCGCTACGGCTTCCACAGATGACGTTTTTTATATATTTATTGTCAAAGCATTTAATGTATTCATTGCTATCGGGATGTTAAGAGCATTCCATGGGATATAACAACAAGTGTTTCTGAAGTGAATTACCTACCCCACCTTTAAACAGCAGTATGGTATTTGCACATGGCTTGCTTAGAAAAAGCCATTGCACATGCAAAACATGGGCAGGCTGCAAATGCAAAGTAGCTGTCGGCCCATAGTCCCTCTGGGCACTATTTACTGGTGTGTTCGACAATGACATTCTTGTTTGTTGAACTTTGCATGGAGAGCATGATCAGTGTTCACTCCTCTCAGTTGGGTGAAACTGGGTCACAATTAACGGCGCCATTGTGGAGGTGACCGGGAGTTTCAGTTGCCCCCGGGGTTCCCGGCAACACATTGAAAACAGAAAATAAGAGTTAAATTATTCTGTACATTTTTTCTGGGTGGGGAAAAAAGGCACCATGGCAACCTTCAGCTATTACCCGCACTTACAGGGAAGGCGTACAGATAAAATACCGAGTCGACTCTAAAGCTGTCTTTCATCCCGTGCTTACAAAACAAAAAGGGTGTATATGGAGGATTTGTGCTGAGCAGTGATCATCAGAAGCGGTTGCCTCCCTGCTGCAGCATGATATCAGCACTTTCATGTTAAAGAGTCATTCAAAGTGAGTGAGGGTTGTTTATACACCTGTATCCTTTGTGCTTATGCATCATTATACTCCGTTGCACACGTGGCAGGAGGCAGGATCGGTTGGTTCACAGCAGGTGTTGGCTCAGTGAAATATCCAGTTTTTCTAGATAATATATTATCGATATACTACAGACCTTGCGTGACCCAGAGTTCATTCCTCCATCTGTACGCTTTATTAATGCAATACATGCCGTAGATATGCAGCAGAATATCTGTACATCTGAGCACAGTGGAGAAAGCGTGTGTACAAAACCACGCCTTGATCAATCTGAGGGTTGGAGGAAAAGGCTTACTTTATTTAAGTAAACCACAGTGAGCCTGACTGATATTGGATTTCTAAAGCCAATAGTGATATCGATGAGGACTGCAACTAAAACATTTTTTCTTTTTCAATGAATATTTTGTTCTATAAAATGTCAGGAAATTGTAAAAAAAACAAAGCAAACGTCCATCTCAGGTTCTCAAAGGCTAAGGTGAAGAAATGTAGTTGTATATGATATAAAACCGATAACAGCAGGATATCTCTATATCTGAGAATCTGAACTCAGCATTTACGATGATCGATTATCAAAATACGTGGCTTATATTTTTCTCTACTAACAGAGTAGTCAAATAATTTGATACTGATGTTCAGGGGTTTCAGAAAATTATATATCAACCAAGAAGTTTTTTTTTTTTTTTTACGTAAATGCATAACATAAACAACTAGAGAATGCAATTCCTGAAGAAATTGCTAGTGGGAATGCTTTATGCTGAAAAGCTGACGCTGAATTGCTATGCTGAAATGTAATGTGTAAGAAGAAAGTGAAGAATTGAGATTGAAATGATACATGGACACTGGGGGCTTGAATGTGTGATGACTCTGAGAGAAGAAAAGAAAGTAAAAAAGCTTGGAAAAGCAGCAGAATATTTGAACTAACTAACTTGATGGTGAATGATCTGTCGCCATGGCAATGGTATTTGATGACACCCCATAAAACATGACATTTCAACAGATTTTTAATTTTTTTAAATTTAATTTTTTTAAAGTATTTTATTGAACAATTATTTGTTTAATTGAAGAACGAAAACAGGAATGTTGAGTTAAATATTACTCATCTGTGCATGTGATGGAGGAATGCACAGTGCCTGTAGGGGGTGTGGTCTCAATAGCCAAGCAGTGTGCTATGGCATGGATATTAATAATAATAATAATAATAATTCATTTATTTTATATAGGCGCCTTTCAAGGCTCTCAAGGTCGCCATACAAACACATCAAAAACAAGATACACAATACATAACACCAGCATAAGAGACATAAACAAGTCAATGCAGTAATTAAATCAATCAAATAACCAAATAAATAAAAACAGAGGATGTGTGATGGATAATGATCAGGGTGGATATGTGAGTGTGAAGAGATATGTTTTGAGGCGTGATTTGAAAATGGGGAGAGAGTCAGTGTTGCGGATGTCAGGTGGGAGGGAGTTCCAGAGGCGGGGTGCAGAGCGGCTGAAGGCTCTAGACCCCATGGTGGTTAGACGGAAGGGGGGTGCAGTGAGGCTGAGGGAAGCAGAAGATCTGAGTGTGCGGATGGGTGTGTTGATGTGCAGGAGGTCGGAGAGGTACAGAGGAGTGAGGTTATGGATGGCCTTAAAGGCGAGGAGCAGAATCTTAAAAACGATACGGGATTTGACAGGGAGCCAGTGAAGTTGCTGAAGAACAGGAGTGATGTGGTTAATGGAGGGGGTTCTGGTGATGATGCGGGCATCAAGTGTACTTGAATGGCATATACTTTCCCCAACTATATTTAAGTTCCCTATGAAGAGCCAACCTTCAATTTTGAAAATTCCCAGTTTATTCCCATAAATTCCCGTTAATTCCCATGGAAAGTTTCCATCTTTGAAAATTCCCGGAATTTTGCAACCCTAGTTGCCATGGCAACAGCTTTTGAGGAAAACTCACTAATGGCACATAGACATGTTGAGGGCTGGACCATTAACTGTCATCTGAAGTCTGGTGGTGTTTTGACCATTTTCATATCAGTTACGATAACATCGTGTTTTTTGGCGAGGGATGCGTTTCCATGGAAACAGCCTATGGTGAGATCTCAGATTTGGCGTAGAGCTGTTGAGGCATAGACCGTGATATACAAGTGAAGATTGAGGACAATCGGACCGTGTCCATTGGAGTTACAGCGACATCGTGTTTCATGGCGAGGGATGCGTTTCCATGGAAACGGCATATGATGACACCCCATAATTGACGTAGAGCTGTTGAGGAAAGGACCATTAACCATTATCTGAAGTCTGCTGCTGTTTTATGGCGAGGGATACGCATCCCTCGCCATAAAACAGCAGCAGACTTCATAGTAACACCACATTACATAACATCAGATTAATGTAGAGCTGTGTTAACCATTATCTGAAGTCTGCTGCTGTTTTATGGCGAGGGATGCGTTGCCATAGTAACACCACATTACATAACATCAGATTAATGTAGAGCTGTGTTAACCATTATCTGAAGTCTGCTGCTCTGAGCATGTCAGTTGGAGTTATGACATCATCGTGTTCCATGACACAGGTGTTTATATTTGAGCTAACGATGTGTCCAGAGATCAAAGGTTTCCATGGTGATGTGCAGTAATCAGTGAGAGGAGAGCATTTGCATTGTTCTGAATGAGAGATAAACCTCTTACATGTGAACGTTTTGTTGAAGAACCGTAACAGATATCAGTGAAAGCATGTCAAGGAACTTGAGCATCTGAAGTGTAATTTTTGTGTACTTTCGGGTTAATAATGTGGCCTTTTTGGCAGTTTAACTAAAGGTGTGCGGCTGCTGCCGTGAGGAAATATCAGCCTGAAATTACAATGGGCTTTAATGGAGGCATGTTGAAAGTTTGTGTCACTTCATGCCCTCAAGAGGCATTTTGTTTAATTATTTTGCTTAATTATTTGTCATTTTTCAAGCTGCGAGATGTTTTCCTACGTTTGTCATGAATAAATGATGTCTCAGGAATGTAGGGTTTGGAAATTATGACAGTTTTAAAAAAATATATGAAGGCAAATTTCAAGATTTTCTTGACATCACGCACTCTAGTTAATGTTAAAATCTGAAGAAAACCTCGATAACGAGGTCTGAACAATGTTTAATATCTCTAAAAGCAAGAATCAGATTTAAAAGTTGTGTTACACGAATAATGTCAGAAAGATGTGTAACATTTTAAAGTTGGAATGAGGAGTGAAAGTATGAATGAACAGTTAGCAGTTGAAGTCGCATGAAGATTTGTTGAAGTCTGAAGAATTCCTCCATTGACTTCCATGTTAAAAATGTGATGTATTATGGGATTTATCTCTGGAATTATGAAAGTTATGAATGAGAAAAGTAATAGCCATCGATTCCCGACCGAGCTGAACGTTTTGATGTTTGAACGGAGTTTCTGCGATGTTCAATGCAGGAGGAGAAGAGGTGCAAAATTCCGGCGGAATAATAAACTTTTTGTCCGTAGAATAACATATAGTTGGAATGCTGTATCAGCATTCCAACTAAACAAGCTGTACAGTATACTTTTGAAGCTTAATATAGTATGTAATATTAAGTATAATAGTATTTAACACATGGCAACAACCTCACTTAACCAATCCCAAAATACTAATGCAATATATCTTGATTCCTCCAAACATTTCAGGTAAAGCAGCAGTTAACGTTATATCTTTGCCCGACTCCCTTTTCATTTTGGTCCCTTTTTCCAGCTGCTGTTCTCCATCCCAAAGAGACCCTCCTTCACCTCGCAGTGCGTTTGGGTTTAGTCCATCTCTCCCGTTTCTTAATCCACCAACCGAGAGGTCAGAGGGCGTTGACCTTACCCAATCAGGAGGGAGACACCCCCCTGCAGCTGGCTCAGAGGGACGGACAGCATGCCATGTTCAGGGTGCTTGCAGCGTAAGGCTACTCCTTTTTACAAATGGAATAATCAAGACTTCTGATAAGGCTGAATCATAGGGAAGGCTCCTTTCTGTTCTCAGTAAATGAACTTTACCTCACTTTCTGTCATCTTTCTCTCTCCTCCTCAGTCCTCCTGCAGGCGGCCCTGCTCCAGGTGTGTGTTGTGTGTGGGCCGACAGCTCCTTCATGCTGAGGTTTTGTCCCGCGACGGACTCCCTGACCCTGACTGTGAGACGTACATCCACCTCCCCCCCTCAGGACGCCATCATCACCCTCCGAGACAAACTGGCAGACCACAGCATCCTCAAACAGGTGAGAGCAAACAACCAGGAACACCTTTATGTAACGTCCTTATTGTGTTCCTATCTAATGCACAATATAGAACAGAAAGGGCTGATAAATATTCCCATGGGTCTCTGTTGATGATGTTATGTGTGTTGCTGTCGAGATAAGGCCGTTTGCACAGGTTTTGTTCGGGCTTGTGTAAACAGAAAGCCCTTGACTCCCACACCCTTTAATATACAGTCAGACATGTTGATAAGAGTTGAGCAGGTAACGGTGAACACAACAATGCATAATAAATCAGAGGGCATGAGCGGTGATATGAAAGGACACACACACAGGTCCACATTGATAGTACAACTTGTACAACTTCCAGTCAACCAGCGGCTGCAGTGACTCTGGTATTGTTTCCTCTATGTGATTCTGTGTTTGTGTGGTTCAGTTGGTGTCTGTGGACAGTTTTGTAACAAGATTGCTTCGCAACCATTTACATGTGTAGTTGAAATAAAAATGAAGGTAAAGTTCAAAGATGGCCTTGTTTCAACAACGTGGTGTTTCGGTTGGCGTATATTTCTGTGGACATATTTTGTGACCTCGATAGCCTCCCCCTCTTTACGCATCAGGTGGGATTTAGCGCTGCAGCTAGTGTGATCCCATTACAGTATGTCTTGTATTCTTCCGTTTTTGGAGATTTGTTTGGGTATATTTTTCTGTTCTATTTTGTTAACATATCTGTTTTTTTTCCAGATCAACATGCTCAAAGCTGACAGTGAGGTAGACAAGACGGGCAAAAAGGAATTCCTTCCTAGTGATGAAGGTAAAGTGGCTTATTTAAATCTAACTATGTGCTGTATAAAGTATAACATTCCTGTTTACAGTGGCTTTTTATTAACTCTAGATTTATTTGCATTCATCTGAAAATCAGGTTATTAAGGACTGTTTGTCACAAGATGCTTTTTACCATATCCTACCTGCATCCAAAGTACAATGCTACTTTAAGAATTTCTACTTTTAGACAAAAGGTACATTGAATATGTACACAATAATACTAATTTAAAGCAAGAACATTTAATCAAGTGTCAGCCTGTGATCATCTGACATGAGGGACAGGTGAGCACAATCCAGATACCTGCTTTGTGTTTGTTCTCCTTTATGTGCCACACGTTAGCTGTCATTATGTTAACTGTGTAACACGAGCTCTGAAAAACAAACGCCCCGGAAACAGCCAGACACGTACACCTGAACACACTCAAAGTCCACAGTGACATTAGACTCAATGATGTAGTTGTGTGTAGTGCATTACTTTAATTTACATACAACTAATTTGAATAATCAATTAGTATTTTAACTCATTTATGAAGCAGCTTCTACAGTAAATGCTGACGTTGTTTGGATTTTTAACTGTTTTCGGTAGGACAAATCATTTGAAGACGTGTGCTTAGGCTTTGGTACATTTTCCCAGACGTCTTGTTTTATTATCAACACTAAATTATTATTTGATTCTGATAAAATAAAATAATCAACAGATAACCAAGTAATACGCCATGACAGTGTTTTCTTCTTGCAAAAACAGTTTATAATATTTGCTCTCTGTCTGCGTGCATTTGTGGAAAACAATCCCCACAGATTCAGTTGAGCAAACCGTATGGTCATCCATCACTCACAACCTAAAGAGACTAAGAAAACACTCTTGAAAGAGACCATAAAAGGCACACTCTCCTCCTACACGTGTGTTTGTTCTTCCTCAGAGAAATCTTGAGCGGCAGATTGTTTTTCTCTTCCTTTGGTGACATGCTTGGGCTGGCTATTAACCGCACAGGAAGATCCTTTAAGACCTTCAGTGGTGGGTAGAGTAAACACAACGGTACTCAAGCAAAACTATTGTTACTTTATAATTATATTGACTCAAGTAAAAGTACATGTAAAAATAACTATCTTCAAGAATAACAACCATTAAAACTATTCAAGCAGAGATGAACTTAATTAGATGCTGTGTAATACATAACTTATTGTATTTTTTCAAACAGATCCTCAATAAAAACAAATGAGAAGTGCACTGTAAGTGTCATTCAAGTGCCAGATAGAGAGAGATATGTGCAGGTAATGACTGTTAAACTCTTAGAAACCAGAGGTGTGTGTGTGTGTGTGTGTGTGTGTGTGTGTGTGTGTGTGTGTGTGTGTGTGTGTGTGTGTGTGTGTGTGTGTGTGTGTGTGTGTGTGTGTGTGTGTGTGTGTGTGTGTGGTGTGTGTGTGTGTGTGTGTGTGTGTGTGTGTGTGTGTGTGTGTGTGTGTGTGTGTGTGTGTGTGTGTGTGTGTGTGTGTGTGTGTGTGTGTGTGTGTGTGTGTGTGTGTGTGTGTGTGTGTGTGTGTGTGTGTGTGTGTGTGTGTGTGTGTGTGTGTGTGTGTGTGTGTGTGTGTGTGTGTGTGTGTGTGTGTGTGTGTGGTGTTGTGTGTGGCAACGCTGGGGCATTGATCCCAATGTTTTCCACTTAAGCAGGACTGCAGATTTTTCAGTATTGCTCAAGGCATCAAACTCCCAGCTGAGCTGAATATTTTTGTTGTCATGACAGCGCCTGACGATGGTTGTGGTATAAAGTTGTCATCCAGAGTTATTGTTTTTTCCAGATGTGTCGAAATGGTCGTCTAATTTCAACAGTTTCAGCTGTTGTTGGAACGTGCCTGTGTGACAATCATTCCAGTTGCAAATATCCAATATTCATCAATTAATCTGATGACTGTATTTTCTAGAATAATTTTCAATTGTTTGGTCTATAAAATGTCCGAAAACAGTGAAAAATGTCCCAGTTTCTCAAATTCAATGTCTTTAAATGTCTTGTTTTGTCAGTCAAGAACTACAAAATACCGGATATTAACATTATTCATGGTTATATATATACCTAAAATGAAGGAGAAGTTGGTAAGGGAAAAAAGTATTTCTGCAAAACAACCACTCTTACGATTGAGATGTTTTAATTAAATTATTAATAATGTAACATAAACATAGTAAATGTAACTCATCACTACCCACCACTGCAAATCTTACATGCTGCATCTTCTTGTCACACACACACACACACACACACACACACACACACACACACACACACACACACACACACACACACACACTCTGGGTAGCACTCTCCTACCTGGTCACTGTTTTTAGTAACCATAGAGATGGCACGTGGCCGTATCGACTCATAAAGCAGAGCAGGAAGTGTACCTCAGTATTGACCTTAACCCTGTCCGACTTCAGCCCCGTCCATTAATCCTCTCCCAATAACAACCTCACGGGGGGGAGTGTGTGCTCTGTTCCAACATCTCACAGAACATTTTTTAATTCCTGGAAAGTGAAGACACATCCAGAGGAGCTGATGCCGTGCCATGTGCACATTTCTTCTCGGGAGGAGAGCTGTAGCCTGTCATGAATTAACTTCTGGCTAAACATTTGTATTTTGTCCAGGCATCAGCACGGAGCTCCGAGTGGAGGAGCACACGCTGGTGGACAACGTGAGTATACATGCACATATATATTTGTGAGTGTCGCTGTAAATGTTTATAGATTTGCCTCTTCAGTTCCTCCTGGTTCTTGCATTTCACTGTGATCGTATCTCTGTTTACTCAAAGTAAACAATACTTGAATTCTCTTAAGAGCCATGCTTCCTCTGTGTGATTTTTGGTTTGTTTAAAGGTATTTAATGAGCAGCTTGTCCTTTCTCTGGATGATGACGACGATGAAGACGAGTACACATCCTCATTATCTGGTAATTCTTCTCTTCTCTGATCTCTTCTTCTCTCCATTTTGCACACATCGAGATAATTAGTTTTATGTTGTTTTTAAATAAATTCACACAGCACTTCATTACAATATAAAGGGTTTTTCAGAAAGTAAAAAAAGGCACTTTATTTGAAGTACCTCTAAATATACAAAATATGTGAATAAAGTGTTTTTTCTCTCCTCACTCAATGTATCTACCTCAAGCAACACAATACCAACGTAGCCAAACCCAAAATAGTTTTTCCATTTTAATATTATGGCAATAATACTGGCATCTGGTTTCAATTCCTGAAGAGTTTTATCCAGAATACCTGATGTGCTAATGCTAATGTTTTCTTGGAGGAGATTCGTATGTCATTAATCAAACTTTGGTTAAATATTTGTATTTTGCACAGGTATAAGCAAGGAGCTCCATGTGTCTTAAATAATGAATCTGTTACACATAAAAAAGAAACACAACAGCATATCTGTGGCTGTACTGAGCAGCAGGGTGTGGGATAATAAGGTGGAGGAGAAGCCCTGACTGGAGCTTTTCTCTGGTGGCGCTTGCATATGTAGAGCTCTGTTTTGAATCACATCATAGGAAATCAATACACTAACTGCCTGGCAGACACAGACAGGGATCCACTTCTGGAGAAGGTTAATGAGCAGTTTTGTTTGATTAAACCGACGTATTGTCCTCCTGGAGTCTGGCTGCAGTTGCGTCCACAATGACTCAGCCCAGGAATCTGCCCTGTCACTGGGACAAAAGCAGGAATGGGGTCAGGAACGGAGATGCCCCCCCCTCCTAGTCTGGCCTGTCTACCTGACGTCCCCTCCCCCGACTCCCCTGGATCGGACAGTGGGGCTCTGTACTTGAATTGAGAGGGGGGAATGTTAACAAGCTCAAATTTCGTAGCTTTTTACAAAAGCTGACATTTTAGGTGAGCCACACACATTAACCTTGAGTTCTCTCTTAAACACGCAAGATTGTAGAAGCCCAGCTAAGCGCAAACAGTCACTGGCTTGTAAAAAACTTTGAGGAGGATGCTCAAATGTTTCAGGTGTTGCCACGGTTACTGGGAGTCCTATTTTCCTGTGTGGAAGAATGAATAGTTTGTTGTAAACTGCCGAATGAAGGCAATAAACTCTCTCTCTCTCTCTGTGTGTGTGTGTGTGTGTGTGTGTGTGTGTGTGTGTGTGTGTGTGTGTGTGTGTGGTGTGTGTGTGTGTGTGTGTGTGTGTGTGTGTGTGTGTGTGTGTGTGTGTGTGTGTGTGTGTGTGTGTGTGTGTGTGTGTGTGTGTGTGTGTGTGTGTGTGTGTGTGTGTGTGTGTGTGTGTGTGTGTGTGTGTGTGTGTGTGTGTGTGTGTGTGTGTGTGTGTGTGTGTGTGTGTGTGTGTGTGGCAACGCTGGGGCATTGATCCCAATGTTTTCCACTTAAGCAGGACTGCAGATTTTTCAGTATTGCTCAAGGCATCAAACTCCCAGCTGAGCTGAATATTTTTGTTGTCATGACAGCGCCTGACGATGGTTGTGGTATAAAGTTGTCATCCAGAGTTATTGTTTTTTCCAGATGTGTCGAAATGGTCGTCTAATTTCAACAGTTTCAGCTGTTGTTGGAACGTGCCTGTGTGACAATCATTCCACCATCTGAGTCTTCAATCTGTCACCATCTTTAAATGAAACAGAGGGGAGATTTCTGTGTCTGTGTGTGAAGCTGCATACATTGACAGTTTGATTTGAGCAAATAAAATGGAAGCATGCAGACAGAGACATATACAGAATGTAAGATAAACACAGAGAGTCTGCCTTGTGTGTTTGAGCTGCAGCTAATGTCTTCACTGTGTGAGAGCAGAGAGGAAATGCCTCTGTGATGCTCAGGATTTCCCTTACATTAGTGTGGGCACGGCCGCTCAGACATCAAAGTCTGAGGGGAAAGTGCTCAGAGGGCTTAGAAAATGGCTTCTCATCAAGAGAGGACATTTTCCACATTGTTATCTTAGAATTACCAGCTCTTGTTAACATGCACTTTAGTCTGCACAAGTATGTAAACTGCACCTATTCTTTACTTATTTATCTGAGTTTCTTACATTTTTAAGGTGCTGTTATTGTTGGTTTGTACTTTAACTACATTTTAAACAGAAACATTGCACTTTTTACTGCACTATACACATTTAAAAGCCTTATTTAGTGTACTTTTTACTCTATAAACACTAAATACAGGAGTCCAGATAAAAAAAATGTGAAGGATAAGTAATTGTCATATCGAAACATTTATAAATATACATTGATTCATAATATTTGATAAATATGTCTTCTTTTATTCCATATCGGCAGATATTTTGTGAGATTTTCCATGTTAAAAAAGTAACAAGACAAAGAGTCTTATATTCTCAGTCTACAAAAAGAGTCCCAAAACCTAACCAAGGTATTAAAATCATGTTATTTTTAATTCAAATGGTGGTAGGAGCAATCATACAAACCATAATATTACACGACTGGACCATATAAAAAAAAAAGGAAAAACATTTTGTATATGTGAATTGTAGTCATGCCCAGAGTTCCCAATTTAGACATTTGCCCACATCCTGTTTTTATAATTCAATGTATGAATATGAAAGAGAGAGTGTACATGATTACTGTTAACCAGACGTGGTCTATAAAGGAGAACAAGGCTCCAGTCCATAATCCATTTCCTAGAAAACGGTCAGTTTGGCGGTAAGGTTGGCATGTGCAGGTTTCTATAAAAACAAACCTGGAAAGGTCAGACAGGGAGAAGGTATGCAGTATCTCATTTTCCTTTCTTTACTCTATCCCTGACATTTCATAGGAGAAAGATCAATACATTATGGCACAATGATCCAAAAATCATTAGAAAGAAGCAGAACAGAAGGCTAACTGTTAACAGAAATATATGATGACATGTTTGGTCATTTATTTTCTCTTTTTATGGCATATCTGATGGAGAGTTTTCATTTAAATGGTTGTAATGTATTTTGGTTGTACAGGTTGGAAATCGGGTTAACTCATGGCACATTGAGAGCTGTTTTTTTTATATTAAACCAACTGATGTTAGGATGAATAATAGTAATGATAAGTGGCTTCATATAAACTTCACTGAAGATTGTACTGTTTGTTTTCACAGTAAATGGGCATCCCATGCAGAGCCAGTTCAGGCAGCATGCTGCAGACCCCCTACTCTCCATGATGAACAGCAGCGATCGGATCATCACACACTCACAGGTCATACATCACCCTCTCTCTTTAAACACAGATTTATCATTTCAATGGACAGTTAACCCCAAAATAAACGATACTTATTTTTCCTCATACCTGCAGTGCTATTTTTCAACCTAGATTGTTTTAGTGTGAGTTGCTGACTGTTAGCGGTATCAGCCCTAGAGATGTCTGCTTTTCTCAAGTATAATAAAACCAGCTTTTGGTGATAAATTCGCTAAAATGTTTGCATTTGAAAAACTCAACAAATGTCTCTTTCCAGGAATCATGACCTGTTGCTCAAGGTGTTACAGCTGGTGGGTGTAGTTCGGTAGAAAGATATTAGTTCCAACTTTGCTCATCACAAGGTCTGTTGATTATCTTCAGTAACCGGGTCTTGATTCTTGGAAAGAGAACATGCTGGCAATCTACTTCCTTGCCACTTGGAGGGGCACCTTGAGCTGAGTGCTATCCAGTTACATTATATTTGAGAGAAGGCAGACATCTTTTTGGCTTATATTTATATCACTCTGCTACTCCCACAAAAACAATCTAAGTATTGTGAATTTTGGGGTGAGCTGTAGCTGGGAATCTTCCCCTGCTACTTTTATAAAAATACATTTCTGCTTCCTTTTGCACTCTTTAATCCAACTTGTGTATTTTGACTTCAGGATGAAGAAGCAGACCTTCAGTACAGCGTCAGCGGAGTGACGAGGGGCAGCACGGGGACGGACAGCGGGTTATGGGACACGGTGGACTCAGATGATTTCCTTGCAGCCACTGACTCTCCTCCGCCCTATTCAGAAGAATTCTTCCTTCCCTCTCTCCCCTGCTCTCCCCCACTCTCCCTCGCTGACCAGGCCCTCGCAAGGCTAAAAAGTCCCACCTCCTCTGAGTCGACCAATGAGAGGGATAATTCCCCCATGGAAACCGGCGACCTCAGGTATAAAACATTGTAGAACATTTTCTCTAATCATAGGCAGTGTTTCAGGTGACTCTGTGTGTAACTGGTCCTTTATTTCTCCAGTCCCAGCCTGGTGGCTCTGGAGCTGGACAGTGAAGAGGACAGCACTGAGCCAAAGTCTCCGCTCTCCCCGCTCCTGTCAGATGTTCAGAAGAGTGAAGAGCAAAGTGAAGCATCTCGCCCCACCCATGAGCTCACATGCACTCGCAGCCAATCTGCCTCCTCAGCATGTGAACCCAGCACTAAGGTAAAATACCATATCAGGCTCTCTCTAACATTCATTTCCCCTTCCCCTCATATCATTCATGACTAGCATTGTTTGAAGTCTTATGTTTCTAGGTTTTGAAATATTCTTTTTCACAGGAATTGGGTGACCAGGGGATTCGCCCGCGTTCGTATTCCTACTCTTCCTCCAAAATCAGCTTGCGTCCCGCTCGTTTTGCGCGGGACAACCACACATCAGATATCAGCCCCGGTCAGTAACACAGTCAGAAATGTACAGTAGTCTAACAAATAACTAACAATTCTCTCATCAACTAACTTTACTTGTGTTGTGTGTCACTAATGGATGGTGCAGAGCTAACTTTTTACATTCTCTTTTTTACATTCACCAGCTGTTCAATGCAGATAATCACACTACTAATAAAAAGTGCAGTCAACTTCCGTAATAATATTGTGTCATTTTGGGGAAATACACCTATTTGGTTTCTTGTAGACATTTAGATGAGAAGATCGATATCACTTTCTTTTTGTTTTTGCCTGTTTAATATGAACAAGGAGAAGAAAGTTAGCTTAGCTTAGCATAGGCTGTGAAACTCGCTAATTAAACCTGTTATATATTGATTTTGTTAAATTCATACAAAAACCCAAAATGTTAGTTTATTTTGGAGATTATATGATGCACTATTTCTTAGCCAGGAAAATCGACTCTGACTGACATGAGAGTGATATTGATCTTCATCTCCAACTCTTGTCAAGAAAGCAAATATTTTCCAAGATTTTGAAGTATTCAAAAACACTTTTCAAATCCTCACAGTGAGCCTCCACCAGTGCAATACACATTGATTTTAGAGCTCTCAGTCTGGATCTGACTGTATGCGGTGATATTCTGCTGCTCTGTGGTTGATGTGTGAGCTCTGTCCAATGTGTCCTGTAGATGCCGGGCTCCACAGTGTCAGCCACAGCCGATCTCTCCTTCAGGCCCTCTCTCTGTCTAAATCTCTGTCTCTTCTCCACCCTGGTAGTAAGTACTGGACACCTGCAGCCGTCACACTGCGCCAAGGCTCAGCATGCCGCTGTCAGTGTCAGTGCTTATGTGTGTGTGTGAGTCAAGGTTATTATTGTTAACTGATTCTGATGATTGAATTAAAGTTTTGAAACATTTTATTTGATTTGAAGACAGAACGTTTGCAGTGCAAATATCCCCAGCTCTACGGATATTCATGTTTTATCTCGATTTTTTTGTTAAGGGGTCTCTAAATTCACTTTTGTGGTTAATTTCCGCTACTCTTATCAATGACATTTCCTAATGCAGGCTGCTGTTTTCACCCAAAAAGTAGACCGACTGTATGCTACCTGCTTTGTCACACCAACCAGAAAATGGTGGATCAGTGAGCAGCTCAAATGCCAGATTCTGTCTTCAGGAAGTGGTCGAGACCAAATCAGAGCTAAGATTAAAGTGATTGCTGGACTTACATTCATTAGGGGGGCTTTAAACAAGACTCAAATTAATGTAGAGGTTGCTTTGAAACTGCCAAACATGTAAATAAACAACTGTCAGGATTGCCATATCAATTTAAAATAGGGGACAATATTTGTTCTTGGTTTGTTTTCACTGCTCCCAAGTGGCCAAATACAATGTTGCACCTTTTAAAAAGGACTACATTTAAACTGTTGTCTGGTTCAAATATAACTACCTGATCAGCAACATCATTCTGCATTCAAGTTGAGTATAAGATAAGTTAAGGTTAAAAGTTTGAGTACAAAACCGTGGACAATGAAACCACAATTAGATAAAAGTTTGAACAAGAATGGGGATTTTAAAATAATCAAAGTAAATTAGAATCATGAACACATACTAACCTTGGCGTGTGTATGCATGTGTGTGTTTGTGTGTATGGCTTCCCTAATCATGAGACAGCCTTATAGTAATCAGAATGGCAGTGGGAGTGCCAGAAGGAATCACATTTGCAGTGATGAGATAAAAAAGCTAGCTGATTGCTTTGCAGCCTGGTGTGGGGTCTCTGAGGGGTCTCTGAGGGGTCTCTGAGGGGTCTGCGCTCTGTGTCTGTCTGTGCTGCAGCTTCATATGTAATGTCATATACCCCGATCATCTGTTGTCTTGCATATCGGTTGTGATTTAATTGATTATTATATATAAATATGTATTACTATGCTCTCATACGAAATGCTTCTCTGGCAAATAAATTAAACTTTTAGAAAATATTCACTCGCTGCAACAGTTTGAGGTTAAAATGATAGTTCTTTGTTTTTTTATGATATTGAATGTGTTCTTGTTTTTCTTTCGGATAACCATCAAACCCTTAAATGTTTTAGTTTGATAACTTCTCATCATTGTTCATGTTCACAGAGCAAAGAACCTCCAGTATATCAGAGCAGTCACATGACAAAAGGTATTTATTCTTTACTTTACTATTTAATTGAAATAATTGAATTAAATCTTATTATTTATTTATTTATGACTTTATATTCCACGTGCCTTTTTCTCTCTTTTTAGTTTCAGTGTTTCAGTGTTTACAAAATGACTCAGCTTTTCATATTAGCAGGTATTTAACTCTTAATTAAAATCAAAGATCATTTCATCAAATATGTTATCCCCAGCGTGGGGAGCAACCTATGTTGGTAACCGTGACGACCGGGTTGCTTGGTGACAGCGGGCACTCTGTGAAGTTCGCTGCCGTCTTTTATAAAGCTCTTTTGTCCTTGTGGAGCAGAGGCTTTACGAGCTGGTGGTTTTGACCCTGTTTGTTTCTGTTTCTAGTGACGTACAGTACAGATATCAGCGTGACCCTGAGCGGCTTCCTGCTTTGTTATTGAAATGCTCTTGTTTTTTCCTCCATGGCTGTCTTGCCTCAGACATGATCAGCTGCATCAAGGATGTCCCAATTCAAAATGAGTGTATACTACAATGCACAGGCAAATGACGGTTTATGATTTAAACAATTGTATGAAATGTAAGTGTACAAGTGACCGTGCTGCTTTAGATGGTTGTTGTCAGACCAAAGAGGGTTTAACATAACATAGGATTTCCTCCTCTTGTTTTCCTACTGATCTCCCCATCTTTACTATCTTCATGTGTGCATACACTTATTGAACCACTGCACTTCAGGGGCTCCCCCTAGTGGAGGATACTAGACAAATGTAGGGCTAATATACAGAATGTATATGCATTGATATTAAATTCAATTTAACAGTGAGCTTACAAGAAGGCAGCAACAAACTGAAACAATGCATGCACACAATTACAACTGTCACACTAGATATAATATGCACCAGTTAATATGCAATACAACAAAATGCATACAAAATACAATTATTTCATTGAAAAGTTTACCAGCAATCACAATGACCAAGACTGCTATTTTCTTAATGCTAATCTACTTAAACTCGCCCATAGTAAAGTCATTCTTTTTATTTATTCTTGCAGCGTAGTTAAAGTTTCTTTAGTTTAACCCTTGACGACTAACATCTGTAGAATATTTTAGGAGCAGAGGCCATATTCATTAACACATGTATGTAGTGTTAAAGATATGCAGGTGACAACTGAGCACATCTTTGCTTTCTCTTCGTAGCCTTTCCCCTCGACCGCTGTGGCTTCTCATCAGTATTAACTCATCAGTGTGTGTGTGTGTGTGTGTGGGTGTGTGTGCGTTGCTCTTCACAGGGAGATTAGGTTCCGTAAGCGAGCGCAGTCTGCTGACGATGAGGGCAGCATGGAGCTGGCCGAGTCCCTCCAACATCTCACCCTGTCTGAGTTCCTCAAAGAGTATGTGGGGGGGTGGACCCCCGATCCCATGTTCTAGCATCCTTAACCATCCACCTCCAGCAAACTAACCCACGACTTACAGCATGAACGCAGCAACTGACAGCAACTGGCAGCAACAACATCCTCCTCTCCTCTCCTCTCCTCTCCTCTCCTCTCCTCTCCTCTCCTCTCCTCTCCTCTCCTCTCCTCTCCTCTCCTCTCCTCTCCTTGTATTGTTACCTTTCTTCCTCTCTACCTGTTGCATATCATCTCCTCTCCTTGTTTCCTCTTGTCCTTGTTTATTCTCGTCTCATCTCCTTTCTTGGTTTTCACTCTTCTCTTGTTTCATCTCCTCCCCTTGATTCTTATCCTCTCCTTTTTTCATCTCCCCTCCTATCATTTCATACTCTTGTTTCCTCTTCTCTACTTCCTCTCCTCTCCCTGTTTCATCTCCCCTCCCTCCTTCTTTCATACTCTTGTTTCCTCTTCTCTACTTCCTCTCCTCTCCCTGTTTCATCTCCCCTCCTTCTTTCATACTCTTGTTTCCTCTTCTCTTCTTCCTCTCCTCTCCCTGTTTCATCTCCCCTCCCTCCTTCTTTCATATTCTTGTTTCCTCTTCTCTTCTTCCTCTCCTCTCCCTGTTTCATTTCCTCTCCCTCCTTCTTTCATATGCTTGTTTCCTCTTCTCTTCTTCCTCTCCTCTCCCTGTTTCATTTCCTCTCCTTGTTTAATCCCCTTTCTTCTCTTCTAACAGCACAACAACAGTTTGGTTGTTATTGTCTTTTAACAATATGCACCATAGTCTCTGTTATGGTCTTGCATGTATCCAGCCCCTAACGATTTCCTCTTTCACAGCACAGAGTCGCAGAGAATGAATACTTTTTTTGACACATTTTACTGACTAAAATATTGCTTTATCAAACATTTATTATAACAGAAAGTACACCCTGGATGACCTGTTGATCATTTCATGGCAGGAAGTTGCAGTATGAACTAACCTGCTATATGCTTTTGTGCTATAAGCATATTAGAATACATACACGTCTCTCACTGTGCCTGCGCCTGCATTAACCAAACTTGCCTTTGTTGTCCTGTAGACTCAGCAGGAAGAAAACAGGATGCCGTGACTTTATCACTTACCTCATGTCTGCAAAACAACCAAGATGTTTATACTGTTGCTGGTTATATACCCTTGTGATAGATAACAAATTGCACTCACATTATTTCATTTTTTCTTCAGAATTGAAGAGGAGGAGTTGGATAAGTACAACATCCCAACAAAGGTGGAGTCAGAGAAGTACAAAGTCATTCGCACCTTCAGTTTCCTCAAGAGCCGGATGTCTAGCACACGCAACAAGACAAAGGTAAAACACAAAACACAAACAGTCCACGCCTCTGAAGTTACACCTATCAAAGATTCCATTAGAGCAGTGGTTCTCAAATGGGGGTATGCGGACCCCTAGGGGTACGTTGGAGTACTGCAGGGGGTACGTGAGATTTATTTTATGTTAATGAGAAAGAAAAAAACACAAGTAATGCATTTAAACAAACTACTAATAGTAGATTTACTTTATTCAAAAGGTCAAAGGTTTACAGTAATTCTGGATAATAAAATGGGAAAAATACACGGGGTGCTCTCTTTTCCTCTCCCTCTCCTGACAGCCCGTCAGTCTCGTGCAGCTCGCTGAACCTGTAATAAGTGACCCGACAGTAAAGAATAAATATATTTACAACTAGTTTAGCTAGTTCCAGAGTAGATAAACTAGCTAAGTGTGTTAGGTCTAACTCTTAGTGTATTTTGCTCCACTCAACGGTCCGTCACAGCGGCGGAGCTGTGATCATGCAGAGCTGCGTGTTCTCCGTCAGCAGCAGCTGATCTGATATCTGATCTCTCTCTCGCATCCGGTTAGACTTCACTCGCGTTTATGTCCAAATCTATCAGATCTAGCTAGTTCTAGTTAATTATATCACTGCCTGCTTATCAAAGGTCCTAAACAATAAGCGTTGCTTGGCAAAGGCGTGTGGCCGCAGAGTATAGCGCAGCATTATGCATGTGTTTATATGAGGGCTCATAAAATGCTCATATATTTTGTTCTCTTCATTCCCCACGCCCCAAAATAAATAAATAAATAGATATACCAATTTTAGGAAAAGTAACGAAGTTTGAGCAGTGTGTGTTTTATATTAACAGAGTTACACATATTTCAAAACGTGAAGTGTAATAACTGCAGATTGCCTCCCTGTCAGAATGACAAAGATCCTCAGTGAAGCTCAAGCCCATGTTTCACTACATTGTACAACTTATTAAAAAGATCAGTTCAATGCAACTAATGTCGTCTCAGTGTTATTGCATGATGTTAAAATTGGTTTGCCATGAATTTAGTGATGGATTGTAAACATTTGAAATGTAGCATTTAAGTGTTTCTCAGTTACTGTTGTTGTTTTAATAAATCAGACACCGATGGTGCAGCGCTGTACTGTACCTCTTTATAAGCATTTTTTCCTTAACAAATTGTGTTTTCCCTGATCAGGGGGTACTTGGCTGCATTTTTTTTTCAAAGGGGGAACATTATTGAAAAAAGTTTGAGAACCACTGCATTAGAGTATCAGGAATAACATAACGTCCTCTTCCAGTACATACAAGCCAGCTTTACATGCTATATTAGACTCAGCTTTGTTTATTAGCCTCAAAATAAAATGTGTTTTGCTTTTATTGACATTTGTGCTCCTCTGCAGCAATTGTGTTTGTATATATTACAATATATATATATGTATATTTATTTATTTAATAAAGGTATGGATGATTTATAGATAATGACCATTATAAAACAGTTGTGAAGGCTAATAGTCCAGGTCTGGACACAGGTTTGAAATATGGGACACTCTGGGAGACACAACCAGGAAATGTTTTCTGGGAATAACTCAAGGTCACAGCAACAGACCAAACATGGTGTCCGGCCTCCTTCCTTTCAATGATTAATCCCCTGTTGTTGAGTCAGCACAGAGACCGGAAGCCCCCCCCCGACCTACATCTGTTGTTTATGCTACGCTCCATTTCCTTGTCGGTGGACTTTCTTATACTTTGGCAAAAGGCGGGGATTCCGTCCCGGCTCATGTATCTACCTACATGTGGAAGAGTTTACTCTGCAAATACAAACTCACCCTGGTTTAGAGAAATATGAGTTAAGGCTCAGAGCTGTCACCGTTTCTCTGTCTGTCTGGCCTCTTTGTTTACTCATGTCTCCGGCATGGTTTTCAAAGGGGAAGGGGAAGGACAGGGAGGCCAAGGACCGGCAGCCAAATGGACATCGGTTCAACACAGGCTCCTGTTTGGGCCCCAACATGTGCGTGGTGTGTGACAAACCAGCTTCTGGAAAGGACCTGCTGCATTGCTCCAGTGAGTAAAAGTGAAAACCAACCATGGTTTCCCTCTCCTTGGATTGGTTGTTTTGGTTTGATTTGATTAAGATATCTGTGGATTAGTAATTCTTTAAGATGTTTTCATGCTGAGGGACTTATTTCCAGTTTAATTATGAGCATATCTCTGGTGAAGTTTTGCTTTTGCATGATTTATTATGGAGAAATTAGTTTCACAGATTCGTCAATGAAATCCACTATTGATTATTTTTTCTAAATCTTATTTGACTAAGAAACACAGCCCTAAAAACCACATACATTATCTCAAATGTTTGTATTTCTTTCCCAGGTTGCACTGCTATCGTCCATAAGGGCTGTAAGGATTCTGTCCCCCCGTGTTTAAAGGTGAATATTGTGTTGAAATGTATTTGTTAGAAAGTGGTTTGAACTGCTTTATCTACTGTCCTTGTGTCAATTGTTTATACTCTGTTACCGGCCTCTCTCATTTGTATTACTTAGAAACTTCAGGATAAGTATGCTGTTACCACGGCGAAGAACAAGACAGCATCCCTCCCACAGAGTGAGTTTACAACACGAGGGTCACGAGGGTGTTGTTTGTGACATTTCCTGTTTGTATCATTTCATTCTGGGGATGAGTATTGTTATATATCTTTTCTTTTGTCCACAGATTTCACAGTGAGAGACAGTCCTCCTCTGTGTGTCCCCGTCTCTACCTCTCTACCTGTCATGAAGGAAACTGCAGAGTCATGCCTCCTCTCTGGGTCTTTCACAAACAGTGACAGGTCATTAAGCTCTCAGACGTTATAAATTATATAATTAATATGGAGCTATTGGTGACAATTTGAGGGTAATATTGGTTGTCCGTGTTTTCCTCAGTCGGCTCAGTGAGGGTTCAGAGACAGAGTGTGACGGCTGGAAGGCGAACAGCCAATCAGAGGAGCTGCTGCAGACTCCAGTGTCGTCCACCTCCACTGACTCATCCTTTGGAGAAGGTATGTGATGAATGAGGCTCATTGTTTTCAGTTTCCTATAAAGGACATTGTTTTTACATGGAATGTATGTCCTCATGCACAAACATGTTGTCGTGTTTCCCATTGGAAATAGTTGAAAAACTGATTGGCTGCATACATTTTTTACACAGATGTTATTACAGTTTGTTTATCAGATTTTTTCAGTGTTTTACATTTTTTTAATATACAAAATATGTATTTTTTAATCAGTAACATGCATACTTTCTTAGAAATTAGTCTCAATGCTGATGACAGTTGTGTGTTTCCTGATCAACAAATAAAAACAGGATGTCAATTTTTCATTATTAAAAAGGTAGATAAAAACCTGTTGTCTGATTATTCAACCAGCACTTAAAAACAACATAAATATGTAAATTATTGTATTTATATGTAAAATAAATGTACTTTAATTGAGTTTTTCTGTTTGTGGAGGGAGAAATGCCTTTATGATTACCTTAAATCACGATACAACTATATGAATATTTTATTTGTTAATAATGAAGAAAGGATTTGTCACCAGGACTGAGATGTGTTAACACACATATAATTAGCCCCTGGGCTAAAGAAGTACATTAAGATGGAAGTTAATGTTGTGATTATAGAAATGTAATACCTTGCAGTTTTGATAAGAAAAACTGATTTGGTATGTCTTTTTCTCCCTAGACTGCGTGGATGCGTGTATCCATGACGACATCTCGGCTGACGCTGTGGATTACGAGGCGGAGTCGTGGAGTCTTACTGTGGAGCACAAGTTCTGCAAGAAGCAGGAGAAACGAGCCGTGAAGAGGCAGGACGTCATCTTTGGTGAGCAGAAGGAAAACCACTGGAATGTGTCAGTTTCTGTCAGTGTCAGAATGTCACATTCAAGATAGCTGTAAACACATTTAATTGGCAGTGATTGCAAAAAGTAGCTTCTTTACTTAAGTAAAAGTAATAATACCACATCCTGAGTTTAAAAAGATACCTAAACTTCAGGACAAAAGTATTATCAGCAAAATGTACTTAAAGTATCAAAAATAAAAGTGCTTGCATATATAAGAGTTTTTTTATTTATGTAATATGTCAATTTGGGGCACATTTTAGACACTGCGTGCTGCTGAATAAATGAATGGTATTCTTATCACATCGTGTTACGTCTGTAAAAGATAACTGCTAACTTCAAGTGTTAAACACATTTAATGATGTGAAAAGTACAATATTTGCCAAAAATAAGTAGTAGAAAAGAGAAAGAAAAGATAAGTGGCAGAAAATAAACATACACAAGTACCTCAACATTTTACCAAATATACTTAATTAGCAACGCTGATAATTGGTTGATATGATTTAGTGACGGATTTAAGATTTCGTAAGGGACATATTGCATGTTTGTATGTGACACACACATCTCCATGTTTGCCTGCAGAGCTGATGCAGACGGAGCTGCACCACCTGCAGACGCTGCACATCATGGCCGAGGTGTTCCGGCGAGGCATGAGGGAGGAGGTGCAGCTGGATGCGGAGGCGCTGGACCGGGTCTTCCCCTGCCTGGATCAGCTGCTGCTCCTCCATCACGCCTTCTTCTCTGCCATGAAGGAGCGGAGACAGAGCTCCGCCCAACCCCAGGGACACAGCAACTACCTCATCCAGAGAGTAGGGGACGTCTTGCTCCAACAGGTCCGCTCTTCTTCTGGGGTATATTACCTTGGGTACAATAGAAATGAGTTAGGATGTGGATAACTGAGTGTTTATCTTTCTGCAGTTTTCAGACGAGAACAGCGTGAAAATGAAGCAGGTGTATGGAGAATTCTGCAGCCATCACAACGAAGCAGTCAGCTTTTTCAAAGAGCTCCAGCAGCATAACAAGAGATTTCAGAACTTCATTAAGGTACGAAACCTTCTCAGATCTTTTTTGTATTTTACTGTACAAATGTATCTTCAGCTTAATTTATGAGAAATGTGTTTGTCCAGTGTTTTAGACCTGAGGACACCAACAAGTCCACAGTAAAAACAATAGACCATATGTTCAACCATCGCTCAGCCCTAAAAGAGAAACAATAAGGTCAAATAGGTTTAAAATCTATTCAAGCCTTTTTGAAAATCAAATATTAAAGTGAAAAGGTGCACGTGAGAAGCTAAAACCTGTTGATTATGCTGCGTGTTTTACAGACAAATGTTTAGAGAAATGCAAAAGTTCCCATATCGTCTTTCTTTGATCCTTTTTTTTAATTTATAACGATTTTATTGATTTTATGTTATATATCATTCTGCAACAAAAGCACCACTACCCTTCTGCTGAGGGAAATGTTGCATAACTCTTGATTTTTCCTTTTAAAGCAACAAGGTAATAATTCCTTGGTGAGGCGGCGGGAGATCCCAGAATGCATCTTGCTTGTCACCCAAAGAATAACAAAGTACCCGGTGCTGCTGGAGAGGATCCTACAATACACTCAAGGTCAGTTATATACTGCCCTCTGCTGGCTACATCTTTGTATGGTCAATTTACAGCCCATTTTACAATATTTGAATACACAATATAACATTTGGTCATCCTGTATTTGTCCTCCTGCCCTTCAGAGGGAACAGAGGAGCATGCCGACCTCTCCAGAGCCCTGGCTCAGATCCGAGAGGTGATAGCAGCCGTGAACCTGAGTGTCAGTGAGTACGAGCAGCACCAGCGGCTGCAGGAGGTGTGGAACCGCACGGAGAACCGCAGCGCAGCCAAACTGAAGAATGGACACACTTTCCGCAAGCAGGACATGATGAAGCCCGGACAGATGCTCAAACACCAGGGCCTGCTGCTGTGGAAGACGGCCACCGGACGGCTGAAAGGTGACACTGCCCTGTTGTTCAATTAAAGGGAATGTTGGGATGCATGAACAATTTGCACATACTGTACTTACATATTACAGCCTACTTACACTTCCTCACAGGATATATTTTACTTTTAGTTTTAAGCAAAACAAATGTATGTATGTATGTAATACACCCTGTTTATAGTAGATTGGTATATTCGAGCGTATTCTATTTTATTCTGTATTGTAAAATGTTTAGAATCTGAAAATACCTATATTTAGAGGAGTATCTAAACTTTAGATACTCCTCTAAATATATGTATGTATTACTGAGAATATGTTTATTCTCTAGATTGTAGATTGACTGCCCATATGCTGCTATGCCAAATCATTTGGGGTAATGTGTATCTATCCATCTAGGTTTTGAAGTGTGTGTATTATTATTCCGTGTGATACCTATAGTAAATGGCGTTATCAAACTGAATCAAAGCGATGTACTGCAGTGGAAGAGGCAGCAGTCAGAAGTATTTTAGCCACCTAAGGAAACACATTGATATAAGAATCAACATCAGTTTAATCAATGCTTTATCACATATATTTATTTGCTGCTTTATATTACTGTATAACAGGTATACAGTCTGTCTATGAAAGGGATTGAAGTTGTTATCCATCCTCATTCCAAGGCCAGCGGACTGCATTTAAAAGTAACAGTTTAGTATTCTTCGGCTTTGGCGAGAGAATAGATGGATATGACGGCTTCAGTCCCCCGCTGAAAAGGGCTGTCTGCTGACAATTAAAATGGTGAAATATTCTAAATAAAGAGTACACTTAAACTGATATTGATTTGTTTTGGTTTGAGGTGGCCAAAATATTTGTTCATGATGCCCCGGTCCACAGCAGTTTGCTGCTCAGCCTGCATTATAAAACTCCTGTCTGCTTCTACACCAACGGACATTTACCGCAGTTATTACACAGATTATTGATTAGTACCTCATACAACCCCACTTCAAAACATCCAAACTATCCCTTTAATATGTTGTTTGCATTGTTTAGATGCATTCACATTATGTAAGTAAATGATCAAACTCCTGACATTTCCTGCTTTTTCCCTTCTATAGATGTCTTGGCTCTCCTACTCACAGATGCACTGATATTCTTGCAAGAAAAAGACCAGAAGTATACATTTGCCGCAGTGGTATGTACACATTAATTATGTCTGATCTCAAAGAGCCAAAACTCGGCTGTGTGTCTGTGATCATTTCACACCATACCTGTTGTATTTTATCTTGGGCCATTAACACGTCCTGGAAAAATGTACATCTCCATTTTTCATGTGCTTCAGGATCAGAAGCCTCCAGTCATCGCACTGCAGAAGTTAATAGTGCGAGAGGTAGCAAATGAAGAGAGAGGAATGTTCCTGATCAGCGCCTCAGCCGCCGGGCCGGAGATGTACGAGGTCCACACGTCATCCAAAGAGGAGAGAAACACCTGGATGAGGCTCATCAGGGAGGCTGTGGAGAGGTGTGTAATACTGTTTTACATGTGTGTACAAATGAACACTTAGAAGGAGAGATGATGAGTTGAGATACTTTATTGATCCCAATTTGGGAAAAGCATAAAAGACAAGGCATTGCACATAATGGAATTAAGAGTAGAAATAAACAATTCAAAAATGTAAACATCTCAAAATAGAAATAAAACGGCAATACATTTTTTTTATAGAAAATATACATGTTGAAATACCAAGAGGAGAATATTGAAGGCTACATTTTCCAGCATTTGTGAAAACATGTTGTTGTTCTGTGCTTAGCTGTCCTGAGGAAGAAGAAGAATACACAAGTGGATCAGAAGAGGAGAAGCGAGCTGCCGAGGCTCGTATTCAGAAGATCCATAAGTTACAAGGTATTTTTTATACTTTTGTTTTTCTTCCCTTTCCTTCATATTTTACCCCCGAGTCAACATTTCACCAGACTCTGTGAACCATCTGACCCTGTGTTTCAGAGAGTCTGCTGAGCCAGGACCAGCGGATCTGCGGCAGCCTGGAGGAGAAGCTGCAGCTGTACGCAGCGCTCTCCGCTCTGCGGGGGCGGGGGGGCGCCTCGCTGCTGGACCCCCGGCTCCTCGTCCAGCCCCTCTCTGAGGAGCCTCCGCAGGCCGCCCTGCTGCTGGCTGCAGCTCTGCAAGAGGGTGAGAACTTTACTGTACCCTGCAGGAACAAACACACATACACAGCACCTCTGTTTGGTTTGTAACAACACAGGACAAAAAAGTGTGAAAAATATTAGATACACTTATTTTGACCCCTCTTATAAACATTTTCAAATAGTTTAAAACCCATTATTATGTATTTGTAGGCAGATAAAGGGACATATTTAAGTTGTTACTAATGTATAGTATTTTTCATAAATAATAACGTCTTCTACATTATTAAGAAATATTTTAATATCAGCAACTATCACTCCTCCTTTGCTTACTCATAAGTGGAGGCTGGGTTATAAACAGATAACCAATGACAAAGTGGTAAAACACATCGGTAATAATATGACACTTATAATTTAAAACTATAGAACTTATAATAAAACTAATATGTATTAAAAACTACATAATGATGTGTTATAAACTAATACATGTTCATGTACTGCTTAAACATTTGTATTGGTGTGGGGCATAAAGTGTCAATTGACAGTGTCAATAATATTTCCATCAAATAAAGAAATGCGACCTCATTATTTATTTATTAATTAACTTAATGTTGATTTATTTTGTATTCATTTTTCTGGTAGTTATCTTTAAAATGAAGCTCATGCTTATTTAATTGCCATTTGCAACCCATCATTGTTGATTAGAGGTTTTCTTAAAGAGTCATTCATCCTGTGGCTTAAATGTATCTTGCATTTTGCTCAGATATATTGTAACAAAAGAGAAATTAACTTTTATTCCAAATATTCAATTATTTATTTTTCAGTCTCTTGCCATCATGATACATTTTAAAGGACCGCAGTATAATGTTATGTTCTTCCAGGAGAACCCGGTCTCATATTTAATGGATGAGCAGTGCACTCACTTGTTGTTGTTTTTGTGTCCCAGCTAAGAACCTGAACGCCACGCTGTCCTCTAAGGCCTGCTCTCCATCCAGCCCCAGCCCGGACTCTGACACAGACTCAGTGTTTCCTGTCAGCTCGGCAGCTCCTGCCCCCCCCCCATCAGAGTCTGAGGCCTCACCTAAGACCCCGGGGGCCGGAGAGGGGAGCTGGACCGGCGGCTCCCTGCTGCAGGCCCCGTGTGGGCTGCCAAAACCAGACGGCAATGACATCGACTTAAAGGTACAAACTGGTGTGGTTTAAGTACAACTTCAGGTACTTGTTATTAACTTAAGTATATCAATCTTGTACTTCTTTATACTTCTTAACCACTACCTTTCAGAGGGAGAAATTCAATGTTTTCCTACAATACGTTGATTCGACAGATGTAGTTACATGTTACTTTGGAAAGATTTTGATAAATATAAAATATAACCAATAGTCGACGACTAATAACTTATGATGTAATGTATAAATGAATCAACCCATGCAGCAATTACAGGCAGCTCTATCTTCATAAGCTGCAATATTAAAGTGATAATCACATTAAAGCATCAATATGTATTATACTGAAATTCTTTATAATAAGCACTTTTAATGTTGGTGTTCAAAGTATATCTTGATAGATATGTTAAGTTTGAACTATATTTAAATGCAAGGCCTTTACTTTACCAGAGTGTTCATTCACTGTAGTATTTCACATTTAATTTTTTTATAAGTTGTTATTAGTAGTTCTACTGCTGCTGATATATATAACATCATGTAGCGTACAGTGATTGTTGTATGACCTCCTTGTAAAATATCTAACGGTTGTGGATTTATTAGTTAATAGAGCAATATGATGTAATGTTTTTCACTGTAGCTACAGCAGTATTACAGGTCATTATAGCCTGCATCTGAACCTCAGCGCTTTCCATTTCTCCACAGATGTGTGGCTCAAGATTGCCAAAAGTTGTTTTAATAATTCAGTACGGTCTATTAGAACTGCATTTCAGTCTTAATGTGATACATTATTGATAAGCTCATAATAAAGGAAGAAGTCCATTTAGTTCCTTCAGGCATTACAAATGTATATGAATACTTATTCCAATTACTATGCCGCAGTTGTGCTTCCGTTTGCAGCTTTTTGTGACCTGTGAGGTAAAAGACTTTGAGAAGTGAGAATCATTTTATTGTCGACTGCAGAGCGTTCATTTAATCCAAAACAGTGTGAGGGGACAACAGGTGGCCTCAAGGGGGCGCACATGTTGCAGGAATTAGGTTTAAAATGGGCATGAGTGGAACAATCTGAGTAGATGAGTAGATTGTAAAACTCATTATTAAATCATGCATTAAAACACTGCCGGTTAATATACATGTGGTATTTTGATTTTCTCTTTCCATGAACAGGTTGCTCTAAGTGTCCAGAGCCTGACCCAGTTACTCTACAGTCTGCAGGTGAGTGACTTATTTAACATACAGTTAACCTTTTATCCCGCTCACAGCCCTCATCCATATTACTATCCAATCAGCAGGTCTGAAAACAAGCCCACCTCCCTTCTCCTTCCCTGAGAACACACACTTGCTTTGTTATTCTCACTCTCAGTCAGATAAAGGCTTTAATACGCCTGTACACTCCAGCTCCAGTAAACAGAGAACCATCGCTGAGCTCAGCTGTTTGAAGCCAGAGGTAGCAGCACGAGCGAGATCCCACTGATCATTTTCCTGCTTATAGAGATAGGAGGAACCATGTTTCTCCACACACACTGACACACTGCTGATAACATGTAAATGTGTGCAAGGAGAACATGTGCGTATTTGCATGAGGGCGATACACTCAAAGAAATAACTCATTGGATTAACTCAATTTTATTGTTGGCAGGTTTTCCATCCAATAAATATATGTGGCACAAACTCAAACTAATGGCATCCATGCAGTATAATGTAAATGAGTTAGTCCAACTCAAATTTTTCAAATAGAGTTTAAGTAAAATGATAACATTACCTTTATGAATTTAAATAATGCTAGTCCACCTAAATCCTATTTAATTAATTGAAAATGAAATAATGAGGTTAAATATAATTTAATAAAAATGTGTTACACATGATAGAAAACATGGTTTAGTTTTTTTTATTTTTAAATTCACATTATTCAAAACAATCCTCCATTCAATACAGTCTTTTTAAAATGAATGAATTCACACTGAAAGATGAAAAACATTTCTGAAAGATAATACCATTTTTAAAATGGCAGAGAAATGGAACTCCTATAATTAACTTACAAATCTCCCTTTGCCAAATACAATGAATACAATATAACAGGGGTATGCACTGCTCTTCTAACAGGACAATAACACATAACATAAAGAGTGCACTGCAAACACCAACATATGGAAATAGTGTTACAGTGTGTTGAAACAAATACAGAAAAGCACAGAACAAATGATTGATATAACGGCTCAATCTGCTCTGACTAGGAAACTCGTGAATAAAATGACAACAATGAACTCATGAGTCACTTCTTTTTCACATTTCAATCGAACAACTTGATCTTCAGACTTTCGATTTTACCATTCAGCTTGTGCCCATCCAGATTCATCACTACCTTCTGCATGAACTCGAAGGTGTGTTTGAGGTTGTCCGGAAAGCTCAAATCCAGGGCATAAATAAGTCCCAATAGCATGACAAACCCCACAATCACGCTGCCCAAGTTGTCCATGACTATATTGCCTTCGATGACAATTCCCACGTCCTCTGGCTGCCCATCCACATCTCTTTGAAGTGTGTATATGCCCATGACTGTGTTTGCCATGTCCCTCTTGGCATCTTCAGAGGCAGAGGCCTGAACAAAGACACAAACATACAACATATGTGTTAACTAAAACCTGAATTACTACATTTTATAGAAGCAGATTTACTTATGTGGCTCTCCTAATTGATCAAAACAGTTTTAGACTAACCCTCTGGTATCACTCAAATGTACTACCCTATTTGGCCACTCAGGATAAAAATGTCCACTTTCAAAAACTTGAATGATAAAATGATATGATACAAATATTATATTTAAATATTTTTCCCCCACACTTTTTGGGAAGTGTGGGAACATTTTTTAAATGGACAATTAGGGTAATTTGTACAGTGTATTCGAGACCGATTAGAAAAATTGAAATTCCAAAAAGTATCTAGAAAAAACACAAAATCATTATAGCCAAATCTGATGTGAAAAATTACCAATTTGGACAAAAATGTCCGAGTGATACCAGAGAAGGTTAGGACCTCCAACACAGAACTAAATTAAGCTTGTAAGAAAATGTTTGCATAAATAAGTTATAAAGATATATTCCTGTATGTTCTGTTTGATTATCAACGTTATCTTATTTATTAATTCAGGTATTATTTGTTTACGTCCCTACTTAATAATGTAATTTGTTGTTATTCCTGTAGTTAATTATGCATTTACCTACTTATTTCGATATGTATTTGATTATTTATTCTTTAATAATTTATTTCCTTGTTATGTGATTATGTAATTATTCCTTTAACAATTTAGTAATTGCTGCATTCACATACCTTTTTAAACATGAATCTATTGATTAATATATTTCAGCATTTATTATTTTATTTATGTATTTATTCAATTATTTATAAGTTCTTACATATGTATTCATGTCCATATTTATTTATTCATTTATAGATGTATTTATATATAAATGTAAATATTTATTTCAGCATTCATTTATTATTTGTATTTATTTCCAGATATATTCATGTTTTAATTCACATTTGTATTTATCAATTGTATTCCTATGTTAATTTATAGATGTATTTATATCTGTATAAATGTATTAATTCACTTTTTTCTATATTTATTTTAACACTTGCCCGATGAAATTACTTCTGTATCTATTTATTATTATTTTTTTATTTCTGTATTTATTCATTCTTACATATATTCATTCCTATATTAATGTATAGATTTATTTATTTCTGCATGTATTTATGATATGTGATAAGATATTTAGATGTAAGCAGGGATAGGGTTGTGTGCCATATAATTTTCTTATTATAAATGTAAGTAATGGTGGTTATAATTGTGGGTAACACTGTTAACCAATACATTGAAAACATATTGTGATAAACATACCTGATACTCCTTAAAAAAAGAGTCTGGATCCTCGTTGAGGTAGATCGCGATGCTTCGCAGGATGCACCCCCTCTTGATGTGGATGTTTTCAAACTAAAGCAGGGGCAATAAATCAAAGACAATTAAGCACAATGCATGTGCAACAGAGCAGGTAGTTTACAACGTAGAGGGCTGTATCTGTCGTGTGTGTCCCTAAGCAGGACTCCTTACACCTACATTTCCACAATAAGCTATTGCCTTAAAAACACTATAAAAGCAGACAATTTCTTAAATGTGTTCATATGATCATGGACAAAAACTAAGCAACTGGTTTGTTAGCAAGCTAGCTAACAAACCAGTTATCCAGCTAGCTAGCTTGCTGCTTTACCTCGTGCACTTGAATTACTCTTTGCATTTTTTGGTTGAATTTAAACTGAATTTCGGTGTACTGTGTTCAATGACAATAACGTTAAATCGAATGTAATATAATCTAATGATCTCCATTATCCAGTATTCAATGCTAACCGTATCTAGCAAGCTAGCTAACAAACCAGTTATCCAGCTAGCTAGCTTGCTGCTTTACCTCGTGCACTTGAATTACTCTTTGCATTTTTTGGTTGAATTTAAACTGAATTTCGGTGTACTGTGTTCAATGACAATAACGTTAAATTGAATGTAATATAATCTAATGATCTCCATTATCCAGTATTCAATGCTAACCGTATCTAGCAAGCTAGCTAACAAACCAGTTATCCAGCTAGCTAGCTTGCTGCTTTACCTCGTGCACTTTAATTACTCTTTGCATTTTTTGGTTGAATTTAAACTGAATTTCGGTGTACTGTGTTCAATGACAATAACGTGACATCTAATTTAATATAATCTAATGATCTCTACTATCCAGTATTCAATGCTAACCATATCTAGCAAGCTAGCTAGCTTGCTGTTTAGACCCAACTAAAAACGGAGCAAAATATAACACGGTGGTTTCAAATATTCTTGTCGATATAATGAAAAGGCATTAGGCCTACTTGGAAACAGGGAACATTCTAAACTACTAGAAAAAACAAATACTTACCAAATAATAGACTTTCCACCGTCAGTTTCCCCAGTCAGTTTCCCCAGTCAGTTTCCACAGTCAGTGTTAGACAAAAGGCGGCAAATGACAGAACGGATTTTGTGCATGCGCAAAGGTGATGTGCAAAGGGGCGGTCCCAAATGAAAACAATTCATTTTGAGTTGCTCTGTCTTAAATACATTTAATAAGTGAATTGATTAATGTAATTTGTGTTACACTAATGAACTATACTTAGGTTTATTTCTTAAATAAAAATATTTAAGTAAAGTGAAACAATTATTAATGTGTCAAGTCTAAGAAGGGCTTGAATCGTTTTTTTGAGTGTAGGTGTGCGCCAGGGGCGGCGGGTGCTGTAGGCTATGAAGGCTAAGCCTTCCCAAATATTTGTGTAACTGCATCCTGGTAAAATAAAAATATAATGTCTTTGACATTAGCGCTGCTATGCAGCCACCTGTGCAGACCCGGCGCTAGAACAATTCTAAAGGGAGGGCATATGATTTTCATGGGAGGGCACACAACACCGTCACGTGCTGCGGGCCTGTGGCACAATATATATATCAAACAGCAAGGCCAACAGCATTGCGCAAAGACGCACACTTATCGCAAATACATACACAAATAAAGGGCAACATAGAAATAAACGTAATAACGGTTCCGTGCCAGCTGATCTGCACCAAAGTACTAATTTCCTTATTTGTTTTCTCGCGTATCTGTCTCTCTCTCCGCAAACTCTCACAGACATGAAATGTGTTCTTTTGATGCGGCATGTCTTAGCAGTCCTTTATCAGTCTGTAATGCGTGTTTCCAGTCGCAAAAACCGTTGACAGTAAAAGCCGCATCAGATGAAGACGTATTTACTTTAAACTGTCTACAAAAGGCTGCGTCTGCTTTTAACGAATATTCAAGCCATGGTCTGTTGTTGTACCATGCAGCGGCAAAAGTGCGCTTCTTTCCTGAAAACAATCTCCCTGGATAACGATCCAGTTTCACCTGCTTGGGTTTATTAACCCCAAGATCATCTGGGGCTGTTGGTCTTTGAGCGGTTGCTGGCCCAATAGTACCTGTTGATGTGCTGCGAGGTAGCGTCTGTAGTGGAGGCACCGGCACGGAGCAGGATGCTGGCGGGTGTGGTGCAGGGTGTGGCAACGCAGGTGGTGATGGTAGGGGCAGTGGCACAAGGAGCTGTGCATCGGAGGACAGCGTTGGTGGCGGCCGCCTTGATGAGTCAGGGCTTGGGCTCGCTAACTCAGCCCCGGGGTTTGCCGAGGCAATGCGTGCTGCTGCAACGGCAGGTGCAGGGTCGCCAGCAGCTGCATCGGCTGCAGTTCTTTCATCGCTATTTCGTTTTAATAAATCCTTAGACCTTTTGAGCCAATTTCTGATGTCCATTGTGTAATTCAAACATAAATGGGAGTCTACAGAATGCACAATAAACAAATCCAGAATAGGTGGCAGAGTGTGACGCTGTGATTGGTCTAAATGTGGACGAATCACAAATCACAGACACATGAATTTATTTGACGTAGCCTGCGATTTTTTTTGTTTTAGTTACTATCTGACATCACATACATCGTAGCATAAAAGTTCACGGTTTATTTATAACAAAAAAAATTAAAAAATATATTTTTTAATTTTTATAAATAATAAAAATCGTGTTTATTGGGGGAGGGCAAGAATGTAAAATGGGAGGGCCTGGCCCTCCCTGGCCCTCCCACGGCGCCGGGCATGCACCTGTGCCCTGTACTACGAAGCCAGTCCAACAGACCCTGGATATGCTTGAGTTATCTTAACTAACCCTAACAAACGAGATCTCGCTAAACGGTCCTACGGCGCTGGTTATCAACTCGGTAAATCAAGCCAGGGTTTCTCTCTCCAGCTGAGAACGCGTTCACGTGAAAGGGGCGGGGTTAGCTACATTTGACCAATCACAAACAGGGACAAGGGTACTGACAGCGCAACATCATACTTCATTAATGAAAAGTAAACTAATGTTAGACAAATATGAACTTTAAACATCCATGATGACTTAAACATATAATCCAGGATACAAGCCACATAGTTGCACCTGCAAGGAGAATACAGAACAACTCGTTAAAAAATAAACTACCGAGTGTTTGAAAGCGTACAACAGTTTTATGATACTGCCCCATCTAAAACACGAGGGGATCTGACTTTATTATTACATTACATTACATGTTACTTGTTAGACGCTTTTATCCAAAGCGACTTACATACTCAATACTGTGAGCAATCCCCACAGGAGCAATTTGGGGTGAAGTGTCTTGCCCAGGGACACAACGACATGCTGACAGCAGTGGGGTTTGAACCTGTGACCCCCTGATCCCAACACCAAGGCTCTATCCACTGCGCCACACGCCTCCTCTTTTTATTACATTTGAGTTGAGTGTTTCGTCAACTTAATGTGTTGCTAATACGTCTGCATACAGTATATGTGACAATGTAACTAAGTGTTGCACGGCCAGATACGGCTCGAGAAGCTGACTCAGATAAGGAAATATTGTGATATCGATGTGAGATCGATGATCTGATTGATGATGTGATGTCAGTGTGATATGAATGATAAGTGCGACACGTCGGCGTCTTCTCTGCATACAGCAGTTTAAACTGAATTTCCTTTTTCCTGTAATATGACTTGATAGATTTAAACTCTGCACACTGAGCTCTGATCGGTCAGCAGGCGGTGCTTTCACTGAGTTGATCTCTTTTCTATAGACGCCGGAGGCGGGCAGCGTAAGATGAAAAAAAAAGTTATTTAGCCTTCCCAAACCTGAGCCTCACGCGCCGCCTATGGTGTGCGCACTCTTGTCAATCTTTGTGAGTTTGAGGTTTTGATTTCACTGATGTTTTCATATTCAAAGTTATTCAAATATTCGGGTGCTAGTGGAGCCTCGCAGATGGGGGGGCTGCAGCCCCCTCAGCACCCCCCCTTCCCGCGTCCATGGTGCTCAGGCTGAGTTCAGGCTGAGTTTCACAATGTCTCGCTGTCTCGCAGACCCGACGCAGCAACCAGGAAACGACACCAGTAACCCAGCTCACACTGTCCGCTCCTCACAGCAGCGGCACAACACGGCACCCAGACCCCACGCAGCATTCTCATCTGTTTGTCATTACTGGTGTCATTTTCTGGTTGCTAACAAACGCCATTGTAACACATAAACACTGATGTTCTGCTGTAACGGTGGTGGACTCATCAGAACAGAGTGGGCGAACTGACCAATCAGAGCTCCAACAAGCCGTTTAGGACAGAGAGTGAATACACATACTATACAGAGATGCTGTATGAGAAACCAATGTGAGTTTGGAACATTGAACAATGTAAATCTATTACAATGGAATTATGATCAGTAGAAATGGCCATGTCATGGGACTTTTAACATAAGAACTTTAGTTATTCATCTTTTTTTCCCTCATTCAAATCACCGTCTCTTATTAACTGTATGTAACTACTGTAAGTACATTTACTCATATACTGTACTTAAGTAAAAAATGTCGGTACAAGTACTTTACCTGAGTATTTTGTATCTACTTTATATTTTTACTTCACTACATTTTGTAAGCAAATACTTTTTTACTCCACTACCTTTATTTGACATGTTATAAGTTAAAAAATATACATCGAAATACGTTATCATTTATTATTATGGGTTGAGCTTCCCAGTAGTATATCAAGTAATACAAATAAAACCCACTTTTATATAGTGCCACATTGAAGTGATGAACACATTAATGCACCAATGATTTTTTTAAATACAATTAACGTAAAATATCTGGGGCTTAAAATGGCCATTTTGCATAACGAGTAATTTTACTTTCGGTACTTTTATTTAGTTTTTTCATTGCTAGTACTTTTTCTTTATTTGTAACTGAGTACTTTTACCATGTAGCATTGCTACTTTTACTTGAGCTAATAATCTCAGCACTTCTTCTATCTCTGCCTGTTGTGAGGAGGATGCACATGTAATTACAGTTGTGCTTGAGCCTTTATATTCCCATGAACCTCATCTTTGTGCTCTAGGCCGCAGTGACCATCCAGGACAGCTGCTTCGAGGTCCAGAGGCTCCTCCTCCAGGAGACGGGGCGCCCCTCCCCCCGAGCCCAGCGAACGCACCTCCCCAGCATCCGGGGCAACGCCCTGCAGGAACAGGAGAAGCAGCGGAACCTGGAGAAGAGGAAAGAAGAAGTGGTGGCGGCTCGGCGTCTCCAGGACCGGCTGCGCCAGGAGAAGGATCGCTGGGAGAGGGAGTGCCAGGCCAGGGAGAGCCAGCAGGGGGAGCAGGAGAGCAGGCTGGAGGAGCGGGAGAGGCAGTGCCACCTGGAGATGGAGAGGCTGAAGCGCGAGAGGGGAGAGCTGGACGAGCAGCTGGAGGAGTACCAGCAGAGTCTGGAGCGGCTCAGGGAGGGCCAGAGGAGCGTGGAGAGGGAGAGGGAGCGCCTGGACCACCAGCAGACCCTGCTGCAGACCTGGAGGCACAGCCGGCAGAGCAGCCTGCCCACTGTCACCCCCCACATAGTCATCCCTCTGGATGGGACGCAGGTAAGGGGGATGCACAACTCACTACTGTTTCCTCTGTCTATAGACTTTGATATAACTTCTCATGTTTAATCGGGGCGATGATCAAGGGTTTAGAACAATTCTGTATAAAGCAGGGTAGTCCAAACATTTGGCTGGGCCACTCACTGGAGGTTAGGTTTATCAACCAATCAATCTATGTTTATTTATCTAGCCCAATATCACACATTTTATAGTTTGTAAAGAAGATGAATACAACACCCTCTGTCCTTAGACCCTCACCCTCAGGAAGAAAGCCCTCAGGATTATCAAAGACCCCCATCACCCCAGCAACAAACTGTTCTGTCTGCTGCCGTCTGGCAGGCGGTACCGCAGCATCAGGACTAAAACCACCAGACTCACCTGAGCACCTGAGCTTGCACTATTTTTGTTTTTATTGTTTTTTTTAATATTTATTGTTTGTTGAGGAACCTGCGATCTAAGTGTAGGGGAAATAGGAAGGGTTTATTTCAAACTTGTTATGCAGATAAATTATTGGGCTTTTATTATTCCATTGTACTTTAAGAATTTGCTGTGGGCCAATTAAAAATGGACCACGGGCCGCACTTTGGACACCCCTGGTCCAAAGCTCTTGACCCTGACACAAGTGTGCGGTAGATACGCAGAGTTTATGGAGTATTTCTGAAGTCATTGACTAGAAGCTTTTCTCAAACAGCTTTCAGCCTGAGTTACGCTGCTTCACACACTTACACACACAGCACAATCCCCTCTTGATGTACGACCTGCGATAATGAGAGCAATTTCAGCATCATTTGTCTTAGTGCTCCTGCAGGCCCACTCACCCATAAACATCTTAATGATTGATGATAAGTAAACCGTTGCAAATAAGAGCTCCGACAAAATAATTAAAACCAGAGGCACGCAGCCCGAGTATCCAATCAATCGTGTTAGAAAGGACTTCAATTATCAACGCTTTGTTTGAAAAACACTATGGTGAAATGCCCCCCCGCAGCAGGAAAGCAGGGAGGAAAAAGGGTGCACTGTTCCCCGTGCCCTTTAAGTTTCAATGCACCTCATCTGGACTAGCAATACAGCACACACACCTCTGCGCTGCTTTGTGCTGCTCCGTTCAGCAGGTGTGAGCGTTCAAAAGACGCACACAGAGAGCACTCCAACGGACAGACAAATGAGCTGACTCGTGTTACAATATTCCCTCTCTCCCTCATTAATTTACACACCACCCTGGGCTTTTTTAACAGGCTGGATGGGATCAGGCTCTCCTGGCTCTAGGTGGACCTTTTTTTTAATTTCAATTCATCTATTATAGTCGGTGTGGAGGCTGCAGTGGTCTGAAAAAGGCGTGCAGAGGTCCTAATGTTCCCCTGCTAATGTTTTAGCCAGAGGCAGCAGTTCACAGGGTCAGACACAGATCCAATGACGCATGGACACACACACACACACACACACACACACACACACACACACACACACACACACACACACACACACACACACACACACACACACACACACACACACACACACACACACACACACACACACTCCTTGTTCTCAGGTCGTTTCTAATTAGCCGTGCTGCGGCTGCTGCCTCGGCTTTGCAGAGAAAAGGAGGGCACATTAATGTGAAGATGAGACAGTGGACAGGGGTATTAGGAGAGGACAGATGCAGCAGTAATACCTTTTCCTATGCAATAAAGGGTCCACACAAATTAATCTCCATTTGTTCCACTTATTGTACATCTAGTGTATGTGACAATGTATTACTCCAGAGCTTAAGAATTCAATCTCTGAGAGTTTTGAATTTACATTTTGACCAAAGAGTTTTCTTTTCTAAGAAATCTTTAAAAAAGTGTATTTTTCAGAAATAGAATTACATGAATCAAAACAATCCACACAACACACTGTAAAGAGGTCTCATGGCCAATTTCTGCTGAATAAATAGTCCCTAAAAAACTTCTCACAGTAAAGACTGTGTATTAATATTATTTATATATATTATTTCAGGTGAAATGTTATTCGCTTATTGGGTTGGAAGGTGGAATCTCAGACAGAAAAATATCCAAACCTGGACAAATAAAATTATGTATCAATCTATTTATACATGATACCACTATAGGCAAGTGGGACAATTGATTTTGGGCGCTTATAATTATTTTTAATTTGATTTTTTGACAAATGTATATTAAGGTCCACTAACTTTTTTAAATTATAAAATGAATTTCATGATCTCTCGTTAAAATGCACCAGTGAATTTCAAAGGATAACTGTTGAATTGTTTTTTAGGTGTAGAAACTATCCAATCATCATTCTTTCTTAAAAATCTCTCCTTCTGAATGTGTGTTCACTGTATTCTTGATTTCTTCGCCCTCTCTCCTCCAGGAATCGACCCAGTCCAGAGACCTGGCCGGTAACGGCTCCGTGTTTGTGAATGAGGCCGCCTTCACAAGCTCTGCCATCAACAACCGCAAAGGCCGCCACAAAAGAGATGACCCCAGCACTCACAACTGTCTCAACTCCCTGCTGGCAAAATCCAACAGCAGACCGCCCCCCGGAGCAAAGACGCCCCACAGCCCACACTCAGACCCCCAGGGATGGATGACAGGGACAGGGTACCTGTACAGTCCTGCAGGGAGGCTGGAGCTGCAGCACAGCGCCAGAGGTGAGGAGGTCATCTGTTATCTGATATAGAGGACGTTTAGAGCTGATCACAAAGGAAATGGCCATTACCGGCTCATGGGGAGCCATATTTAAAAATGTTGTTGTCTCTTGCTTCTAATACATCCTATGTTGGATGGCTAGGATCTCTTTAAGTAAAGCAGTGTCTAAGCAGGTGTCCGAAGTCTATAAGTTAAATGTTTTGACCTCTAAATGTCTCAGATCGTCTCATTTTTGAGGCACAAAGAGGTCAAACTGTCAATTTGTTATCTAAACAGCAAAGAGTAGAAAGCCTTATATTGAGCATTATGTTAACCCCTTAGACCCCCTTGTGACGCATTTATCGGGTCTCTACCACAGGCAGAGAACCACTGAAATAGCTAACAACGTAATAAAAGCAAATCCTCAAGTTAGTTGCTGTAACTAAAGAGAATTTAAAAGTTTCTGCTTGATGAAGTACTTAACGATTATCAAGAATATTCTTTCTCATCATTCGACAAATCAATTGTTGCTCAAGTGTAGACCTATGGTGTAGACACAATGACTTTCATAAGAAGAAATAATAAAACTAAAACTGCTTATTAGATTTTTACTACATTAATTTCCATATTATGTTTTCAGATGCCATCTTACAAGGGATGCAAAAACTCCCGCTAATGAATGCATCAATTATGCTCAATTAATAATTTAAATGTTTGGTTTTGTTTAATATCCTTTATCTTAGTGCCACACTACTTGGCTAAAGTGCCTCGGTGTAGAAAAACAGTATCATCCTGTCTGCTGCTCAACGTAAATGAGAAACCTGCTTCCTGTGAGAATGTAAACACACCTCCGCTTGCACTGGTTTCACCCATGTCATGAGAGCCTACGGCACACACACACACACACACACACACACACACACACACACACACACACACACACACACACACACACACGTATCCTTACATACTCTGCTCTCGATCCCTGGTGAGGCCTTGTCTGTCCTCCTCTCAGTTAATCAGTGCCTCCTGAAAAAGAACCCCCCCCCCCCCCCTGCTCACCACCTCCACCTGCAGCAGCAGTGAGCCAGGCCCCCACCTGCCAAAGGGAAAGAAAATCAATGGTTCCTCTATCTATCGACTGGCAGGGCAGACAACAGCATGTGAATCACAGTTCAGAGGCGATGGCGGACTGATTGGGACATCGATCTAAACAAATCTTTATAAAACTCATGACAGCATGACTTGTCATCGCATCAGGAGAAGGGGGAAGGAAATGAGAGACGTGTATTCATCTGCGTTTCACTCGCGAGGTGTCGGATACATTCTGACATTTACGCCGTCCCCGTTCCTAATCCATTCATGCAACACGCTCATTCTAATTTCCACAGGAAAATGACAGGTTACACGTGTTGCTCTTTTCTAATAAACCGGGTCAAGTTAAGTGCGGCTGATGGGAGTTGCTGGTTTTGTTCAGAGGCTACAGCAGGCAGCACAATCTCTTCCTCATTGATCGGCTTATTAACCTTTCCTTGTTATTGAGCGCTCACACCAGCCCCAGTGAAACCTGAGTCACTCGTTAACAAGCCTGGGGTGGAACCTTGGCAACCATCTACCACCAGGGCGCGTTCCAGCTGACATACCCACAATGCATTCCTCAGCGGGTCCCATGAGAACCTGCAATTAGACCTGTCACCATCATGCATATTAAGTTGACACTTGATTGTCACACAAATAGTTGTGGTTAACAATTTAAAAGCCTCTTTTTTTTGTTTATTTTGTGCCACACAGTGCTTTTGTGTTTGACTTGGCAACTAGACCTCAATCTGTGTAGGACACTTCAACTGCTGCACATCAAATGATGCGTTCGTTGCCAAAAGAGTATCAATTCATCTTTACATTATTCCGAATCCGTGTTGCACCTGCCGCTGTGCTGCACAGTCTTATTTCTAGTAACTAACTTTATGCATTGGTAGAAGGTTGCGTGATTTTTATTTTTCAAGAACTCAAAAATGAATCAGGAATACACACTTTGTTTTGCCTCCAACTGATACTCACTTCTATTTACACGTAACTGTTATTATTACGTCACTCTTTTTCTCACGTTGTTTTCCACACACTAGCTAAACTCACACTACACACTAAGCTTTTTATTAAATCACCTACGCTCCTCTTATATAACACCATGTTTCCATCTGAACATTTTAATGAGGTAAATCGAATTGGTACATTTGTTGAAAGCTACAACACTTGCATAATGAACCTCTGAGCTGTCATACACAGTGCTGAACCCATAGGGGAAACTCTGCTATAGACAAAGAGATCTGTTATCAGCACCTTCCTGTCAGCACCTTGTTTTGTAACAGTGAAATATGGCCTCTTCAAAAAGAACCTGTCCAACGGCAGCGAGAGCTGGACCCAAACTCTCTTTCTCCCAATATTTGAACCTTGTGCACTTGTTACCCAGAAGATAGATACTTTCTATTTGTTGCCACAGTTTGAACTTTAAATTCCCTTTTTATTGGAATTGGAACCCAACGATTTAGCAAACATGATGGCAGTCATCTCATGTAATTGCGATTATGTTATAAATGCAATCGGATAATTATTGCCTTCTTCCCATAAATCCCTGTTAGATTTATGTCTCCTTTATGCCTCATTTGAGTATTTTATGCGCAATGACTCAGATGTGTAGTCCTCTTCATACCGGATCACTGATGCCTGCTGTGCAGAGGAACCTGGTATCTCTTTTATCGTGTGAAAAGAAGAGGAATCTCTTTCAAATGCAAATCCTCCATTGTGCTGCCTCTCACGTTGATCAAAACACGATCTCACTTCTCATTCTCACCTGAGCATGTGAAAATGTCTTCTCATGCACACACAACACACACACACACACACACACACACACACACACACACACACACACACACACACACACACACACACACACACACACACGCACACGCACACGCACACACACACCCTTTTTTCGTTCGGTGGATTTCCATAATTTCTTCCTGCACAATGGAATCTCGGAGAACCAGTTGGATGGAATTTCCTGTGAGATGACGTTTCATCTGATGATGAGTCGTGTCTACTTTTTGTTGCTCACCTTTTCATACAAAGGATGAGAGCATTATGAGCTAGCTGAGGAAGAAAAGAGAGATAAGACTGGTGCTCTTTACAGTATGCAGATTCATTCACATAGATAATGTGCTGCGTGACACACACACTGGAATGTGACTTTCTAACAAAGCATTGGGTTACGCAGTAATGGTTAAATGCCAATGATTATTCTTTCTCAATACTGACACTGACATACAGTACAGAGAATTAGATCCTTTTGGGCAGGGGGGGGGAGTGTGTGGGAGAGAAACTCCCTCTGGAGGGAACACAGGGATTTTAGCCTTGGCAAACCATTTACATGCACTGAAACCTATATAACTACAGAAAAGGGAAACCCCAAAAAGCATAATAGGGTGTCTTAAACTTTTTAAATATGACGCAAACTTATTTTTACCTATGCTTTTCCTAAACCTAAAGTTGTTTTGTTGTCAGAACAGGTTGTTTATTGCAGAGGCTACTGGTCGTTTGTACTGAAGGAGAACAATATATATTCTCATAAGATGTCAAAACAACCGCAACTGCAAAAATTATTTTTATTTCTTTCCATTTACCAGATGTGTTGTATTGCCTTGTCCAGAAAGCTTTAACTCAAATTCAGAGCGGAAGCGTTACAGACTAAGTTTTCCTGTAGTATCTTACAAAGCATCTAATGATGTTGGCAAGGGAATCCACAATGTTCCAGGTCGTTCTAATGACCCCAGCCATCTGGTTTCTGTTTGGGTAACCATACAAGACTGATATTCATTTCTCCAAATGTTCTGCAGCCCGTACAAATGGATATTTTTTTTGGTGCTTTCTTTTAATAGCATGCATTAAGCTGTCTGTGTTCCAACATATTAATAACGCTAAAATCGTACTTTATAGATGAAGACAGAGATTGAGTGTTTTTATCATCTTGCTGCACACTTGATGTCTCATCTATCAGAGGCCTGGCTTATATGGTGGCTAACAGATCCACTCTAACAGACTCTTATATAATTAATCAAACAAAGGCACTTTCCTTCAGGGACACAATGAGGCAATTTATAGTTCACGCCATCTGTTACCATGACAGCACACCTGCCCTAATGCTAGACAGCACCCACCACGCACACACATGTAAGAGCACACACTTTCTCAACTAGAGGCCACCCATGAAAACAATGTATCTTTCAGATCGCCTTTAATTAAATCGTAATGTTATTGATCCTTGAGGGGAACACAACTGAAGCTGGAGATATCACATTTCTTTAAAAAACACTTCAGCAGTACATATTTTAATTAAGCAATCATACACGAGAGGCCGTTCTTGAACGTCATTATTGGTACGACAGTACTGGAGTTTTTTTTTGGGTTCAGAATGAAGGTGATGTTCATGCTGCCATTAAAAGTGCAATTATTGAAACAGCTCTCCATGAACTCCATGCCAGACTTTTTTGCAGGTGGTGCTGTGGTGTTCACGGGTAGGACTACGTTATAGGAAGAGCTTTCCTTCAGTGGCCGTTTCATAGCGTGTCCCGGACCGGCAAAAAGCGCGTTGCTCCACATCTTTCTGTCTGTGTCCATGTCCAACCATTCATCAATACTGAGGCCCCCCAACCAATCAAAATTAACTTTAAAATCTGACATTTTGTAGCTACCGATTTCCAACGAGAGACAATGTATAACAGTGTAACGGCTGTGTGTCGCTAAACGTCGCTATGGAAACCACACGATGGCTCATGGAAGTAGTTTCGGTAGGCTAGTGGCGTGTGTAGGCCACTGGATACTTTGTGATTAGGCACCTTCTATTTGATCGTTGTTTGATCGTGGAATCAAACACGCCTATTGACCAATCAGAGAGCTTGCTCAAACCTATGTGTTATAGAATATATTGATCAAAAACATATTTATCAAATACATATTTAAAATTGTTTCTTAAACACCTGAATGTCCTCAGGGATTAATAGAAATCTATCTTACAAACTATTAAAAAAAAAGAAATAATTATTTTACTTATTTATTAATACATTTAAATATAAAAACTAAGCACAATACAAAAAATAAAACATGTGCAGTATATAAATATAGAGAGGAATGTGCATGGTTCACAGTATTACAATTGTAAAATATTCGTTAATTCCTTTTTCTTTCCGGACCCATGTTCCTCATCTCTTCTGGTTTACAGTCAAATGTGAGAAGGCGTTAGTCATGAAATCCTAACCATGGCGATGGATGATGCTGACAACAATAATGATAAAAGGGACACCTCTAAGTAGAAGGGGGAATGATGGATAGTTAAAACCTCTTTTTGTTCTCATTCTCACTCTCATGCTCCGCTGCTGAACGGGGGGTGGGGTTTGATCTATATGCAGGTAGTGATTAGAAGAGTGGGCGCAACAATTAGACTGAACTCATTAACCAATTAATCCTGGTGATTATGTATCACTGGTTAGTGAATTATTGATAAGGTCAGTAGCTGCATTTATTCTACACACAGTACAATAGGGCTGTGCAGAATAGTTTAAAGCTTCATGCATAACGTTTGACTTCTAAATGAACATTTAAATGCTGCACCTCTTTTTTTCTTCCTTTCACTACACTAATGTTAGTATTCTACACTTTATAGAAATAGATTCCAGTGGTGATGGCTGTGTAGCACTTTTTCAGTCTTGTGTGATCAAAACATTTCAAATAACTCCAGAGAGTTGTAAAGTCCAATAGTTAAAATTCACCACATGTTTTTCTCTCACAAAATATTTTTGCTTGAATCCACTTTTGTTGCCATTATTTAGCCTTTCAAAAACAACATTTCCACTGCAGTCTAAAACAGTTTTCTCTCTTGCTAGCCGCACACAAAGGGAGGCAAATTAATGACTTAAAATGTATTTTAATCCAATAAATCACTTTATGCAAATCGAGGATTTTGTTCAATTACATAACTTTTTTTATGGTTATGGCATTGTAAAGCATGATGACATTTATTTAAAAATAATTCAAAATTCCCATGAGAAGCTTCAAATGTATAACATGTTTAATATTTGTATTTCTCTCTTTCAGATCCTCACAGCTACATCGGGGACACATGGCCGTCAACAGCCAATGGGGCTGACCCGTATCCTCTGCTCTCGCATCCCGCTGACCCTCAGCTGGACCTCCGTGCTCTGGTTTCCTTAGAGACTGACAGCGGTGGTGAGGAGGGCTGTGAGGAAACCATCGTGTACCTCTGAACGTTGAAACATGTCAGACTCTCAAACAGCCAACACAGCACTTGGAAAAAATATAAAGACATTTATGAAGCAACAGGATTGGAATCGGGGTAGCTTCCGTGAGCATTTCACTGAGAAACAGTCTTTTGTCATGTTTTTCTTTTATATTTTAAAGATGTTTTGTGGTCTTTTGTAAGTGTAAAGTTTTCCGGAACACAGAGCGAGAAACACCGGTGTTTCATACTCAATCTCACATGCGTCATGCACCTTAGCTCGAGGCACTACTGGGTGTTCAATGTCTATTTTCTGTGTGTGTGTGTATATGTGTGTGGTCTTTATTCCCTGCAGCCTCACTATTTTCCCTCTGCTACTTTCCATACCTACTTATTTCCTTTTCTTTCTCAGGTCCCTTAAGCACTATATTTATTATGTTTACCACAGAAGAAGAGAAAATGCGTATACCCATCACAAGCGATGCATCAGGCGGTATTTCTCTAGTGTGATTGTCTTACCATCGAGTAAACTTCCCCTCATCTATCAGACGGCTTCTGTGTATGTACAAGCCGAACATTAGGATTGAAAGATGAGGTGCAACAGCGTCAGTCCCACGTTTTTCAAACCCCAATATTTATTTATTTTTTATCTGAAGCACGTTTTTCATGTGAAGAGAAATAAGCAAAGATGAGGCTGTAAGAGAGATGTTGCAGCTGTGCTAATAAGTCGGTTTTATCAGAACGTAGACATTCATCCGCAAAAGTCTGAGAAAGCATTTTTAAGCACACTTATCCTTGGGGAAAGAAATGTGGTGCAGGAAGATTGAAAGAAAGAAAACATGTTAAATGGTCGCTACATTTGTATTTCTCTCATTCATTGTTCTTTCATTTTAGCCACACTAGCAACTTGGCTCTGGTGATGGTAATGCCAGTGATTCAGTCCTCTCCTTTGGTCCATCACAGTGAAATATTGTGCAGACATAAGTTTTAAATATGAGGATAAACCCTAATACATTTGGTGATTACATGACACATTTTCTAGCCCTACCAAGTGTACAATGTCTTTGGGTATAAATTAAACATTTTTGACAATCTTGTACCACTCTCTAATCATTATAACTTTGGTTATCCACAAACTTTTCATATAGTCCCATTAAATATTAATATTTGGTTTGACCAAATATCTAAAACATTAATAACATTCCCATCAGCCTCAGCTTCACTTTGCTTTGTGCTAATTGGCAAATGTTAGCATGATAACATCTTAAAGTAAGATGGCAAACAGTAGCTTGGTAGCATTGTCATTGTGAAAACGTTAGCATGCTGACAGCACAATTGCATCTTAAAGATGTTAAACATGAAAAACGTTACCATGTTAGCACTGTCATTGCAAGCATGTTAGCATGCTGACATTAGCATTTAGCTCAAAGCACCACTGTGCCTCAGTACAGCCTCATTCACACCAACGCAACTCCGGTTCAAGCTCCGTGCTAGAGCTTTTCAGGTTCAGAACCGGTTCTTCGGTTTAGCTCCGGCTCTTTTCACACCGCCCAGAGTCCGACTTGTGCTGCGTCATTGCGTCATCGTTTGCACCATGACGTAACCGTTTGCACCATGACGTAACCGTTTGCGTGCCTGCTTCATAAAGCCAAACCGCGCGATTGTGCTCCAGCTTCCTCTGTACCTCTTCGGAAGACCAGATTCCCAGTAGGTAGCTGGTCTCTTCAGTGGACCACTGCTGCTTGTTTCTCCATCGTTGTGTACAAACTGGATAAAACGCGGGCTTTTTGTTGTTGTTCAGGAGTTGATCCTGCCCCCGCCTCGACGTAAGCGTGACGTATGTGGTGCTTTTGCTCTAGCCGGACAATTTGTTGGTGCTTGAAACGAACCGGATTCCGGAGCTAAGAGGCTGCTCCGCTGCGGTGTGAACAGGAAAACCCGGTGCTTTTCAAGCTCCGGCTCCGAATCGACCCTGAAACACTGTTGGTGTGAATGAGGTGAATAGAGCTGCTAGGATGGCTTTAGACCCCCTATGTCTATTGTTTTACTTTATATAAAAAATATATTTTAACTTTATACAAGCTGTAAAGGGTTGAATATATTGTCCTGAAATTATATTGGTAAGTTCCCAGAACAGTAAATTGCCGTATTGATGCTGTCATGCTAATGCTATAAGCTAGTACATTTGAATATTCATGTTCATTCATTAATTTACATATAATCTCTCATGGGCATTGTTATGTGTAAAGAGGTCCCTGTGCCAATGCTTTAGATGTCCCTTCAAAGACATTTCCCTGTAAGGGATTAATAAAGTGCTTCTTCTTCTTACAGACACTAAAAGATACATGTAATTACTGTTATCAATGGGTTATAATGCAGTGGCAGTATGTTGTTGTAATTGTAGTACCTTATATGCCTGTGCTTTTATGTATTCATTACAGTACAAAAGAGTTTAACAGTGCTTTGTGAAGGGTTGTGTTGTACATAAAAGTGTATCTGTGTGAAGACGTCTCTTTTTTTGTGGACTAAGACATGTCCGCATTGATAAAAATAACTTTTATTGACTGACACAGTGCTTTGTTTTTCTTTCGGCTGTTAAATGGGGCTCAGTGAAGATGACAGTACAATATTATAGAATACAAAAACGTTGTTTAAGCACAAACACCAATTTTACGCCTGTGTCTATGGTACAAATATCACTTCAGTTGTATGGCTCTGTTCTGAATGCAGTGTCAACAGATGTGCTGTGACAGTTGGTAGAGCAGGTGCATGAATGTTAATGATTTTCTTTCAGACTGCACCTCTAGATTGCAATCACCAAAAACACATCCGTATTGAATTAATGAAGGCAATATTTTTGTCACCAAATGTAGGTTTTATTAATACATAACTATTTTTACATACATTTCAGAATACATTAAACTTTTATGGGTATAAACATCCAAACTAATCACAACCTGTCTCTCAAGAAAAGGCTACAAATAAAAACTGAGCTAACCTAATTGGAGCTTTCTGGATTTCCCTGACAGCAGTAATGTATTCACATGCTTCACCTCTGTTGCTTTTTCCCTTTTTAGACAGAAGAGCAGATGCCTGATATCAACAGGCTCCCTGCTCTACCCCCCATGTGTGCCTTATTATTTCAACAAGGTGCTGCATACAAACACCCACTCGTTCCCTGTCACCGCACTCCTCAGCCTGTTTTCTATCTTATTGCATTTTGCTTTATGAAATGCAATTTGCAATGACATCAAGTGCTAATTAATGCTTTAATTATCGTGTAATGATTTTAATAATTTAACATGAACTTGATTAAACCTTATTTCTATTTTATCCACTCCTTAACATTTCAGTCTAAATGAATGAGCAGAGGTGGATAATCTGTCGTAATGAACCAGTAAAACAGGTGTAATTTGCATATATTTTCTTTTTATAAAATTACCCTCTGAACCATCCACTACCACCAAATGTTTGATCTTCTTCTTCATCATCATCATCATCTTCTTCTCATCTTTAAGTATTGATTTTAAAATCTCAAGGCTCAAAATACCTCTCTGATCTGTTTCAGTTTTACGGCCTCTCAGGTCATCTGGGACTGTTTCACTTCTAAGTAGGGATGCTCCGATCGATCGGTCACCGATCAATATCGGCCGATACTCACTCTCTACCGATCGATCGGTGCTCTCTAAAGATGCCGATCGCGAGAGCCGATCGCATGACGTAAAATACATGACACTTTTCTCTGTGAGCGGCAAAACAAGCTCGCCAAAATGGCTTCACCGGTCTGGCATTATTTTAAGGTGTCCGAAAAAGACAGTAAAATAGCGGTATGCAACGTGTGTGAAGCAGAAATCCTGCAGCTCCGCCCGCCGGACCGGTAAGCGCAGCGAAACACACACACAGGGAGAACCAGACCGCAGATCATTTCCTCAAGAGAAATTACGGTAGCAAATCACCCGGTTCTTTACGACCAGAACTATTAACGGGATACAAACCGGAGGAACCAGGCATGGAGGGAGGTGGCAGAGACAGTGGGTGAAACTGGTAAGTTTTCGCCTGTTTGGGGAGTTTATATATATATATATATATTGCTCGCATAAAATCCCCGGGGCTTTTTGCTTTGTATGTCGGGGGCGGGAGATTCATGTGATTGGTTGTTGGTCGCGTTGCTCGCAAAAAATCCCCAAGCTTTCAGACACGCCCAGCTCCAAGATTTTCAAGATTTTTGAAAAGCTGCTGTGTGGACGTACCGTAAGAGTTAGACCTAACACACTTAGCTATTTTATCTACCTCTGGAACAAGCTAAACTAGTTATTATAAATATATTTATTCTTCATTGTCGGGTCACTCTTACTGGATCAGTGAGCTGCATGAGATACTGACAGGCTGTCAGGAGAGGGAGAGAGGAAAAGAGAGCGCTTCCGCTCATTTCTCCCGTGTTATTATCCAAAGTGAATGTAAACTTGAATAATGTACATCATTTGAATGTAATAATTAAGTTGATTGTTGTTTGTGGAAGCTCCAGAGAATGAGCCCCATTAACTGAGTTTTAAACATCACTTTAAATGGAAGATTTAAAGTGATGTTTAAATCTTCCATTTAGGCCCCGCCCACTCGATCGGATCGGCGATCGGTATCGGCCGATGCTGATTCCGGCGATCGGAGCATCCCTACTTCTAAGGGTTGAAGAAACATAGTCGTTAGTTTCTCTGCACCACGAATCTGGAACATCTAAGGTCTGCTGTAAATTCAACAGTTTCCCTGTCTGCGCCTGCTTTATTACGTTGTTGGTTATTGTTGCACTGTAATCACATTATACCGTTATTTCTCTGGCTAATATTCTACTCTAATATATGCTTAGATCTTTTTGAAAATGCGTTTTCAAACCTTATAAAAGGATATTGTGTTGCTTCCACTTCCTGATATTTTACACTAAAAAGAAAAAGGAAATGTGGTCAAGCCTCTGTTTGGAACTCTTTCTTCTTCACACACCATTCTTCTCATTATACTTGCTGTTAAATTGAAGATTACCCTCTCTTCCATCATCTCTTTTTGGGCCCTCACATAATCACTTTTGAAACAGTTTGTATGCTTCAGTGAGCAGCCGTTTCTACCATTTTATGGACCATAAAGTAGGATATAATGTAAATGTTCCTGTTTTTTATGTGCCTCTGCAAGTTTTTCAGCTCTGCCTAAGGGAAACTTTCAAAACCATTAACAGCTGTTTGAGGAGAAATGGCAGAAAGGGAAGAGCACATTTTATTAAAAAAACTAACTTTTTGTATGCATGTCATATGTCTATGTTTAGAGGCTGTGTTTTGTGTTTGTTTGACATGGTGTTATTGAAAAGACAGAGGCTCTAACTGCGATCAATGCCAACCAGCCATCTGGGTACTTCCAGTTAAACTGACACTCTGATATCATTCCCTAATAAAATTATAAAAGTATTTTCATTTCCTGAAAACTCTATCAAGTTGGATCTCTTTTCAGTGTGTGTGCCAATAGTAAATATCCTTGAGTTCCTTTACTAAACCTTACAAGCCCAATATTACAACTAAAATAGTGTTAAATACTTAATAGCTCTTTAGTGTTTCTCTCCTGCAGCTTCGCTCAGTGTGGATTCAATAATCAGAAGTAGTTCCTTCCTCATTACACAGTAGGAAACCAGTGCTGTATGTGGCCTGTGTCTCTCTCCCCTAGTTGTTTTTAATGACCTCGTGGAAGGTAACCAATAATGCCAAAGGAAAAACCAATAAAGGGGAAACATATTATCGCTGAGTCATCTGCCAGGGTGAAACACGCGTCGCTAAAGTCTTTCCCAAGGGGAAGTGTAATGATTTCTGTAGGCGCACAGAATAAACCTGCCCGGCCCAAATATAAATAACAGCCATTAAAGCTTATCCCAGTGAGGAATGCTTTTATGAGAAACCCTGAACAATATACAGCATATATACAGGTTATTAGATTTCTCTTGGGGTGAATAGTGACACGCCAGACTCAATAAATATACTGACTGTTCACACCCGTAGGAGAAAATAAAATCTACGACAACTTCCTCCAAATTAGTTAGACTTTCAATACATTTTTTTATC